GCTCCTCTCGACATTTTAAAGCCCATCCACAACAAGGGAAGAAGGTAGAACAAAAAACCCACAGTTCAGTCTCTTACTGCTTATGCTAAGGTCATGCTAGCTAACGGATTGGCTGCACCTGCAGATAAAAACAACAGACAGGGTTTTGCATGATCGTGATCATGCTTGCAAATCAAATCCAATGCAATGTTTTCAAAAGCCATTGATATAAATATAACGTACTCATGTCTATAAATGTGTTTGCAAATGTAAATTCTTAACCTCTTCTGTAACTCAAGCTGTGAGTGTGTTTTATTTGTGTGTCACAGCAGCTCTTATCTTGTGCCTCTGGTTTTATTAATACAACACAGAGTCTGTCTTAAAAATGATGCTTGTAGCGGCTGCAGGTGAGATAAAGAAAAGGGTCTTCACATCATAACAAATGCATTTCTCTTTTGTGTCTTTTCTAGGAAGTGTTGGGCCCACATGGGCAGCGTTTTGGCATTGTCTTCTGGTCCAGGCCATCAGAACTGGCCTTTTTCCCCGGACCCCCCTCCCTCTCACTGGAACGCACATCCTGCTCACTGGGACAGTCCCCCACGCTGGGAGAGGAGAGATGGCCGCCTGCCCAACCCAGGCAGCTTCCACTCTCTCCACCGGGGTTGCAAAGGTATCTCTGTCGAGAGAAGTATTAAGACAGTTGCACATTTTGATTGTGGGATATACAACACTTCCTGTATGAAGGCTGCAGCTGTTGTTCTTGAGGCTATATTGGCTACAATAACTTTATTGTACCTGTATGGTTCTCTGATAATGTATACATCCGACATAAAGTTGAACTGCTTTTATAATAGGAATAATAAGTTGGTTATAATGAATATTAATGCATGAAATGTATAATCAGTATTTTGATTCTACTCTTTCTCCCCATCTTTTCAGACGTGTTTCCCCAACAGATTGAGGGAGTCAAGATGATCCTCAATAAAACTCTGAGCAGCTTCTTTAAGGTGACTCTCTTACCTTGATATGTATCCTAATGTATTTTTTAATATGATAATAATAATTTGTTTGTTTGCTCTCAGGTCAGTCATGCTCTCCACCTTAGTGCTGTTAGTCCTTCATACTATCGATTCCACGTGGAGCACCTGCAGTCTGATGACTACAGCAAGGACAAGGTGAAGCACAAGTCTTTACATAAATAAATAATTTCTTTCTTCTTTTTTTTTTTATCATTAATGTACCTAGCTGAGTACAGTGATTGAAAACAGATAATACTGCTTCATATTGAGTTGACAGGTTTCCTCTTGATCCTACATTTTAGGATGCCCCAGCACTGATCGGTGAGATGGACTCTTCAGGAAGTCTGAACGCTCATGCTCTGCTGCATCTCACCGAGCGTGTGCGAGCCAGATCAGTGTTCCAGGTGAATTTCTAATCTCCTTCTCTCTGTGTTGATCATTAACTCTGCACATAATGAATGATATCTGCTGCTGCGCAACTTAATGTTAGAATTATTGATATATATATATATATATATTTTTTTAGACCCAGCAGTCCCAGTTTGTGACGTGGCAGTTTGAAACTGAGTACAGAGGGAACGACTTCACAGCTGCTGTGACAGTAGCTAACCCAGACATCCTCCGAGAGTCAGGTGGGGAAAGATTTATAAGAGCCTCTTTCAACTTTTCTTAGTAGTTACTGATACTATGCTCAACATATTGGCATGCTGAAATTGTTCTGTAGTTACTAGTCAAATGTTTTTTTTTTGTTTGTTTTTCTGAACATTTTATTTAATTTTGGACATCTGGGATTTAGCTGGAAATACATAATTCTGACTTTTTTGTGTTGGTCTAATCTTTTGAGTATTTTCTACGTTTGTCTTGGACAGTTATCCTTGTGGCACACTTCCTTCAGAGTGTGTCTTCTGGGCTGGTGTTAGGAGGGGAGCTGGTCTATCATCGGGGCCGAGCGGAGGAGGGAGGAATTCTTACTTTGGCTGGACAATACTCAAGTGAAAAAATCTGCTTTAAAAATCTTATATAATGAATTCGGTATCTTTTCTGATCTGTTATGTGAGATTTATCAGCAGAGTGTCACCTCATTTTCCGTCTCCCTTATGCAGGACCAAACTGGGTGGCGACACTGAATGCTGGGAAAGGAGGAGCTCATGCTAGCTACTATCATAGAGCCAACAAACAGGTAAAGCAAATACAACATTTCTGTTTAAACCATAGACTGTATAAAAGAGAGATGACATTACAGCGTGCCAAACAGGAATCAAAACATTTGGAGATTCCACCTGCTGACTGGCTGCAGTATAGATCAGGAAGTCTACCTCCTTCATGTGAGATCAAACTATAGAATCAAAATACACATCAAATAAATATTTCATATATCATGTTTATAGTTAGTTGTTATCATGCTGATTCATGTACAAGTTGTATTTCTTAGAAGTTTAAATTTTATTTGTTTTTTAATGCTATGAACATGTTAAAATGCCATGACTGACAGCTCAAATGCAGTCCTGCTGTTCTTAGGATTAGCATCATTAGCATCATCTTGAATGATCACTAACATGAGATTCACTGAACTAAATTTGTGTTTTGGTTGGTGGAAGGAGCTGAACGTAAAAAGCTGCGGCACAGTCAACTATTTTAGCTTCACTTTTGCACAACAGGGTGAGGACTTTGTATTCAGTTAATGAAATTGTGTGAGTGTGTGTTTGTGTTCTCCAGATCCAAGTTGGGGTTGAGTTTGAGGCCAGCACCAGGACGCAGGAGACCACAACCTCATTCGGATACCAGATGGAACTCCCAGAGGCTAACATGGTCTTTCGAGGTGAATTTCTTTCTACAACTTTCATTACACTTTCATTGTCAATAAAGAAGAACAATATGAAGTAAGACTATAATGAATAAGGATTTTTTTTTTGTGTGTATCCAGGTATGATAAACAGTCGTTGCATAATAGGAGGCGTGCTGGAGAAGCGCCTCACCCCACTTCCTGCCACCCTGATCATGGGTGCTTTTGTAAATCACAGAGGTGACAAACTTCAGGTGGGTTTAGGTGTCAATGTCGGATAATCCCTCTCTTAATCCCAGCTGGAATTACAGCCTGCCATCAGGACATCCATCCACAGCTCTGTTTCAGAGGTTTCATAATGACCTGATATACCAAGGTTTATCAGTCATTAAAAACACTTCCTGCCATGACCTGAGGATCGTGGACTGTTTGGGTGATGAAGCCCAAAACGTTTCCTTACACCGATGCGTGTCATCTTGCAACCTACCTCTCAGAAGTGAGGCAATGTTTTCTGCTGGGATGACAAGAGGTTTGATTTGGACATGGATACATAAAGTGAGGAGCGCAAAGACTTTTGTTTTCTGTCCATTCTGGTTTCAAAGGGACCGAAACCTTCTGACCTTCTGGTCAGTGGAAATATATAGGATAAAAGGAAGACTGCACTTCAAACTGGAAATAAATAAGTTTTATACTGTAGGTAGTCATACAGAAATGTAATGTATATAGAATATACCAACAGATAGTCTTGTTTTTCATGTTTTACCCCATTTATTATAACTCTTGTAAGCCTGAACTTACCTTTCTGCTGACCATTGTCTGTAAAACTGATGCATCATCTTTGCTATCCAAATGAACAAATTCACTTTTTCCCCTCAATACATGCGCTTACTTCTTTATGTTATTTATTACATTTCCCTCAGCATTACCGTGTGATACTAACAGGGTAAAAAAAATTAAATGCTCACTCATCTCAAGCCAGATTTGTACATGAACAAAATGGTTTGCAGAAATGTAAGTTGGATAAAAACATGCTACAACACAAGTATGAACCTATAATTGGTTGTGTGTTGGATTGTGTGTATGCATCTTTATTTTCCAGCGTATAACAGTGTGTGAAGTTACAGACATGAACCAATAAGCCTGTTGACTCAAACAGAAAGAGGCTGCCTGCTCCACAGTGTCCAGCTGAGGGAAGTCGGAGGGGCTGTGCACTGACTGCTGAGTCAGGACTGCACTGTGTGAAAATATGCCGACATGAAGGCATGTGGAAACAGAGACCTTTATGCAACCTGCACTACTCACAAGGCTACTGGGCTTCTTCAGCCCCGTGTAACAGAGAAATGTTAAAAATCTATTATTTATAAATTACGTAATATAAGCAAAGAGAAGTGGAGCTGTCTTTTTGAAATAATTTATTAATAAAGATGTTATTTGTAACACTTTTGATTGGTTTGTTTTTCTCAATAGATATTATTTGTGATACATTAAAGTTCTATAGGTTAAGCACCTTGCATTTCATGTGTAATTATCAATATTTTTATCAGCTATGGTTAAACCGATTAAAAGCGGTCACTAGTGACTTTACACGATCACTCGGCACTAAGATACTTTAAAACCTGTCAGCTCATTGTTTTTGTTTCTGCATAGGCCTACAGAGTAAAGAGAGAGATATGTTTTCTCAGGAACTGCTGGACAAACAAAGCTAAGATGGCGTAAGACTCCAGAAACATCAGAGACTTTTTTGTCTACTGGATGTGCAAATACAGAATTTGTTTATATGATCAACATCATTTTATGAGGCCTTCATATGTCTGTCACCAAGCAGTTTAGCAGTGAGTAAGAAAGGCTTCTTTTTGCCTTGTTTATCATGCAAACCACAATTTACTTTCCAATGTACACAAAGACTGGGTCTGTTTACTGCTCTTTTAACGCACTAGACACAGCAATTCCAAATGTTATTTTTTTCATTTTTGGATGTTTATAAAGCATGTTCACATAGCCTAAATATTCCCACACATTTTCTTCTTCTCAAAAAATCGACCAGTTTGCAAAGCCTTCTGCTATTTAGGGTCTAAATATGTCTTTTAGGAAGTGTATGTTAGTCACATAGGGCCTCTTCCTGCCTTCTGTCTCATCATTAAGTCAGTGACCAACCAAAATGTAACACTGCAGCTTTAAGAAACTGTATGACGGACAATAAACAGATTAGAAACTCATAATTGGCTTTAACTTTTTAATATAAAGACCTAAAAACTAACCGATCTTGCTCTTATACATTTCATAAATATTTACAAATATATATTCAAATCTGAGGTCTGTGAACATTGTATGTGTTGCTGGTGAAATCATGTGTACGGTGTACGTACGTGGCAGCATGTGCTCCAATAGTGGCAAAGATAAAGGATGTAACCATCTGTCTAAGCTGCTGCCACTTCTGTTTGTCATTTGTCTCTGAACAGGGAAGAGAAGAATCCTTTCCCTCCCTCTCCCCTCACTCTTAAAGATTTGCTTCTTTGGAGTCCTCCAGTGTTTTCTTTCTCTCGCCTTGTTTCCCTCTGTCTCTCCTCCTCCTGATGCTGCACCTGTTGATTGATCACCAGCCGCATGTCCTCCTGTGACGAGAAGGGAGGGTCAGATGGACAAAAAAAAATCTGTTCTTAAAGTGCATTTCTCTTAAATCAGCATCTTTCAAATCATTTTGCCTTTTATATCCCTGCACAAACACGAACCTGCCATGATTCCAGTTCTTGAGACAGCGCCACCTTGTGTTTGATGGTATTGAGAAGTTGCTGTGTTAGTGTTTCCTTTTCTTGGCGCATGGTGACCACTTCACTCTCCAAAGAACTGGACAATATTGTGATAATAAGTCAAACTTGCATCGCTCTGGATTCAAATCAAAAACTGCTATGGTCAAAAAAGTAAATTGTTGTGTAGCATTACCTGTAACTTGGCTTCTCAGGACTGCTTCTAAATGGCTTGATTTCTTCCCTTAAAGACTCCAGCTCTTCTCGGTGAGACTGCGCCTGCAAGGTGTGAAATAGAAAGGCAAATATATCGTATTCATCAAAACCTTTTAATTTTCCCTTTATAAATACTACTCATATTACTCAGAATACTTTTTATTTGTGAGTCTATAGGATCCTCTTAAGAAATGCTGGAAGAATAAAATGCTTTAACAGAAAATAAAAAGAATTAACTGCTTCTTAAAGTTCCTGTGAGGAGTTTTAAGCGGATTACAAAACAGATTGAGATAAATATCGATGCCTCTTTATGGCCAATTTCTTTTCTTTTTTTACTATTTGTATATTTTGAATGTCTGAAACCACTACCAGGGGGCAGGTGTCAGACAAAATGATAAACTACCTGTTGCTGGAACAGCCTTTGTTTGCAAATGAGCTGTGATTTGACTGTGAAATAAATCAGTTGTTTAAAAACCCACTTTGCAGGAACAGGAGAAAGTCAGCAGAGAGATAAGAGGTAGTGCTGTGTCCAAAGAAGGTGCCAACATGTAATCTACACAAACCAGAAGTTCATCACAGGAGCTTTGAATTATTAAAATCACTTTTAATCCTTGTTTATTTACCAGCTCTGCCCACACACAGATAGTGGGATAACATTTTGTAATGCAGGAAAGCTGATGTTGGGCTTCACCTCCTCCCATTTTTAAGTCAAACCCCTCTTCAAATGAAGTTATACATCTAATAAAACAAACCTTTGCTTGTATGTGGAAAGGGTTATGTATAGATTGACTGACCTCCTCTTTGAGTGCTTGTATCTCTTCCTCTCTTGCTTGAAGGACATCTGAGTGAGCTAGAAGAGCCTCTCTAGCCTGGTTGGTAGGAGAGATAAACACAACAGAGAGAAAAGAACAGTGAAGTGAAACAATGTGTTAGCCTATTTGTGCTTTGATGTGATTATTGTCTTCAAAGGCATTGGGTATAGGTTTAGGAAAGTTAGTATTAGTCTCAAACAATCCAACTAAGAATGTCAGTGCAGGGTCAAAATTAGTTGGTCAAACGTAAAAACATTTCTGTGTGGGTGTGTATGTGTGTGTGTGTATCTGTGTGTGTGTGTACCTGTGTTTGCTGAATTTCACTAAGCAGAGACAAGGGCTGTGTGTGCGTACTGTCCAGAATGCTCTCTTCTCCCATGTTCAGATCTTTCTGCTGTAGAGAGCGATTCAAGGTTCGTAACTCAAACACCACCCCCTGCTCCTGCTCTATCTACATAGACACACAAACAGTAAGACAAATACACACATACACACCTACACACATCAAGAGCTTCATATTAGTCATGTTAGTGACTTTTGTTAGCTATGTATCCTGCGTCTCCATTCCCCCTTAGGCCTTATCTTTTACCGCGACAGTGTATGTTAAACAGAAGTCAGTCAGAGCTCCTCACCTCTGCTTCTTTCTCTCTCAGCTTGGTCTGTAGGTCTGACAGTCTCTCTCGCAGTGTCTCTCTCTCCGAACGATATCGATTGCTGTCCTCCTGCGAAGCTCTAAGTAGTGCCTCCATGTGAGACAGCCGCTCCAGCAAAACTCTGTTCTGTACCAAAAAAAAAAAAGGAATAAACATGAAATACCTGATAAATTATGAAATGAAGAGTCAAATCATGTCAATGCTTAGATTAAGTAATGTTTACTATGGCTGTTGGGTGGCTGATGAACATTTCAATAAATGTAAAAGAGATGTACTCCAGTCACACACAAGAAACATGAGATTTGATTTCAACCTAGGTTAAGTGAAACTCTAAAGACTCCTTTTCAACAAACACTTGTTGGGAATTTTTGTATGACTCAAATTCTCAGTCTCAAATTTCATCTCAGTAAACGAAGAAAAAATACATAAATCCATGAAAGACATGAAATGTGTTGAAAGAGAGTGTAGGATGACATGCACCAATTAACAACAAGACTGAGGTCAAGGTCAATTATTTTGTATATACCGGTAGTTATTTTTAATGCCTGCTACTACTGTCACTAATTCAGCATTGAGACTGGAATTGCCTTTATTTACACTTTCTGCAGAAATGTTGACTGTGTGGGATAAATTTGACAGTAAAAGAAATCTAAAAAAAATTAATGTTAAAGAGTGCTTCTTCAGCATGTGATAAGAAGTATCAATTGTCCACAGGATTGCAATGATCATTATTTTCAGTAGCTTTAACTCATTAATCTGTGAAAGCACCTTGCTTGGAGACACATGGAGACTTTTGAGATTTTGAAGTGACCTGCAAATTGCTTCTGAGGTGGATCGTTGGTACTTGTTGTAGAGGAGTTGCCATTTGATTGGGACTCCCCTAAAATGACTTGAAAACAGCTCTTCCTAACTTTACCTTGTTTATACAGTAATTTACTACTTATCCATCTATGACATGTGTATACACTTATGTATCCTATCCTGTGGCACACAATATAGTATGTTTGTGACTGTTACAGTGCAGTTATAGCTGATTTAAGTAGTGACTGCATTTACCTCTCCCTTTACGTTGTCTAGTTGAGTTGTGTTAATAGTTCTGCTAAAAGATGATTCGTCCATATCTTCTCTGAGGGAACGGAGCTCAGTCCTCAAGGTGTGTTCCAGTGTCACCGCCTAGATGGGAGGAAGATTATAAATCGTGAGACCTCTTTTCTTTTGTTCAATGAGTCACCACAACGGTTGGAGTCCCAAAACCTGCTAGTCTTCATTTTTTAACACACACACACACACACACACACACACACACACACACACACACACACACACACAGACAGTTCCCACACACAAATAGTCACATGCACATGCGTCTTTTTTTACAGCAATGTAGCATTATTGTGATGCTTTCTAATAAGTGATCGGCTCAGTAAGACAGGGTTGCCTGTTTCCTGCTGGTATTTTGAAGTATACCTCAGAGAGCTGTTCCACCAGGCGCTGGTTGTGATTGGCTAACTGAGTCATCTGATCACTCTCATCCCTCCGCCGGTCACGCCCATGACTGTGATGTCGCGCTAGCTCTTCCCTCAAAGCACCCAAATCTGCTGTCAGCTCTGCCTCCCTCTGCCCAGACTCCAGTTGGTTCATTTCCAGCTTCCTCTGAAGAACATGCTTCTCCTGCTGTAAAGCCTGGGACATTAGAAAACAAAGTTAAGTGGCTTCAACATGAAACAATCAGATTCTGAAACATATGGACTATCCAATGTCTGTATTCTCGTTACTTTGTGTACAAGAGTCTGTGCCTCTACACGTCTCCACATTACTTTTTTACATATCTATAGGACAGGGTTTTACACCTCGGGTACTTGATGGTACTTGGAGTGCACTTATAAAGCCTCCCTCTAGTCATCTGACCACTCAAAGTACTTACACTTAATGTAACCGCTCATCCTTTGTGTACATGCTGATGTAGTGCCATGGAAGGCATTATCATCATCAGCTTTCCAATTAATGGACAAACCGCTCTCCCTCAGTGCCACAGTTGTATTAGTACCCATAGTGATCTTTTGGATGAATATTGTTGGAGAGTTCAATTAAAAATACATATATATGTTTGACAAACCACATGATAGACGTTATATTCCAATACATCGATGCAAATATTGACTATCATAAAATACCAAATGTTGTGACAAAATCTATCACATTCAAGTTCCTTTTTGTTTCTTTGCTTTGTTGCTTCTGAAGTTAGACATCAGTGTCATGAAGCCAGTTCATCTCAATTTGTGTTTTTCAGTTACACGCTGAGTGTTTAATAAATCAGACACTGATGGCACAGCTTTCTGTGTTTCTTCTTTAAATTAGCTCTGTTGCGTACTTCATTCGAACTGTGGTGAGTTGTTTGGCTGAATAAAATAAATTACATGGGAACATTATTTTAAAACACATAGGAGTACCATTATGGAGCACAGGAGGTTGTGGGTCTGTCTCGTTCAAGTAGTCCAACTCAGAATTTGATCAATGTTTTCTTATACACCTGTGATTTCTGTTCTGTTATATGTCAATTTAAAAAACAACCTAACCTGTTCATATATATTTTGTATCAGAGACAGGTTGAGCAGTTTAAAGACCGTAATCATTAATGATAATGATGAGTTACTGTCTTACAAGTCTTTCAACTTTGAAAAATTTCAAGCCTGCAGGGCAAACATTATTAAAGCTTATTTGGTTGTTTCTGGAAAAATATGTGTGTGCTTCTTTTGTTAACACCTTGCTGTATGTTTTAGAAGTGTGAAAAGTTTATTGAAAAAACTGTTTCCAGCAGCTTAATCCTCACCTCCAACTCCCTCTCGCTCTGCTCCAAAGAGGCTGCCAACTCCTCATTCTTTTCCAGCAAAGCCTGTCCCAGCTCTGCAGCGAGTATCAAATCAGTCTCTATCCCCCCTCCGCTGTCACCGCAGCCAGGAGAGGATGTGGATGAGGGGAGAGCAAAGGAGAGAGACACCGAGGAGGATGAGGACAGAGGGAAGAAGGAGTCCTCCAGGCTGGGGGATGGAAGACTGCTTTTCCTGGGGGTGAACATTGTTGACAGTTGCTGGCTGTTTCAGGTTGAAAGCTTCATGTCTAGTCCTTATTGTCGTTATTGTAATCCAAACTCACACAGGAGGAAGGTGGGCAGCCATGACTTTTTTCTTTCTTCGTTGGTCTGGAGGCGTTTGATTGGTTTACTTTCCAATTGTACAATCCAAAGTATGTCTTAACAAACTTGCTCTTCAGCTCAAGTGGTCTTTATACTGGCTTCATCTACACTTCATCACCGACAACACTGTGGACAAGACAATACATTTTAAAAAACAAAAAAACACTTTAAACAGATTTGTAACAGAAACTATGAAGTAAATAACAGGTATGGTGATGTGTGCATGTGAGCTGGCTGGTAGGTTTCTAGAAATATAATCTCACAAGACCTTCAAGGAGGTCTTTTGTCTGACAGGTGCTTTTGTTACTCTGACCGAAATACCAGCCACGCTATTATCTTTGCTCTTCTCCCCTCCCTAAATTCCAAAGGAATTGTGCTAAAACTAAATCCTTCACGTCTTAAATGTGTCTGTAGTAGAAAGAGTTCTTTAAACATCTCTAAAAAAAAGCACATTTGAGCAAGTAATCCAGCACACTTGTTTTAAAAGCTTAAATTAACTGGCTACTTTTTTTGCCGTAAGTGCCACATATCCCTTTGTCCAGTCTCTACAGGATTGTATCTATGTTCATTTTTCCTTTTGTAGACAAAGTTTTAGTTACAAATGTTCTTACTCTGTAGTCTCGGTCTATCATGACATTTCTTACATCACCATATGTAATCTCACCTGTTCATGGCTCTTACTATTATGAAACCACACCATCAAAAACACTAAAAGGAAACTATTAAACTATTTTCTTCTGTCACATAATATGGATCAATTATGCTTAAAACATAACACAAGTGTGCCCTGACTTCTAAAGAAGTAAAAATTAAGTCTGTCTTACCTGATAGTTCTTAGCCGACTCACACCCAACAGGTATGGTCTTCCTGTTTGGTGAGTGTATGTGTGTGTGCGTGTTTGTATGTGGGAGTGTTTGCACAAGAGAAGCTCAGCTGGTTTCCTTGGTAGTGGAACATACAGTATGTAAATACAGCGGCTGGCCCTGCCCCCCAGTGGCTGGAAAGGTAAAGAGATCAAACAGAGGGACGAATCCACTGAGAGGCAGAGCACAGAAGAGAAAGAGACAAGTGTTGAGTCTGCAGCTGCTCTGAAATCTAGTGGCTGAACACAGTAGAGAAAATACAAATAAACTCTGAGGAATGTGTTGCTGAAAATTTCTAACGCTGCTCTTTGAGCGGGGGTGACACAGGGTGAGAGATGGGGAGAAAGAAGGTCAGGACACAAGCAGGGGTCTGTCTAATCCGGCCCTCCTCCTCCTCATTCCCCATCCTGTTTACCTGCTTGAACAGTTTGAAAGAAGCTCTGTGTGTGTTCATTTATGAGGTAGGGGGTAGGGAGAGTAGAAAGGAGGACTGCCATCACGTCTCAGAAACAGCAAACACACGAAAGGGAGCATAAAGCCTGCAAGTTATTAAGGAAGTGTTACTCAAGACCAGTGGATCATACGGTGCATTCACAAACAGCACAGCTATGCCTTGCACACTCTGGGTTGCTATTTCAGTGTTGCTTTTGCTGCCAACCTCTGAGGCTGGAAGACAGATGCCCAAACTCTCAGACAAGAAACTCTGCGCTGACTCCGAATGCAGTCGTAAGTAGCACACTGACCAACTCCTTTTTGGTGCTAATAAATGTAATGCTCAAGCTCATGTAAGGAGCTCATGTAAGGAACTGTCAGCTTAAAGCTCATGTAAGGAACTGTCAGACTTTGGTGCCCCCTGTTGTTGGTATTTGCTGATCTTGTCCTGTACCTGTGGGAGTAGTTTTTTCTGACAATAAATATCCATCCAGTTCATGTTTTACAGTTAAATGTTTCACTCACTGGATCTTTTCTGTAGAATCTTTTTTCAAAAGAGGCTTAATTTGACAGGCTCCTGTTAATCACCTCGCCTGACACCTATCCCTTGCAGCAGCTGTTTCAGGCATTACAAATGACTACAAAATAATACAAATCTTTGTAATAATGGTTTTGTTTGCTAAGTAGCACGTAAAGTGGCACAACTATTAATTCCAGTCTTCTTTTTTAAACCCAGCAACAAATTTTAACAGGGGCTTTAACTTATTTTGATCATTAACAGACAAAATACATTTATGTTTAACTTCAAAAGTCCTTCATATCCTCTTCTTCTTCCATCACACTTATATTCCTGCACAGATCCTATCCTGATTGCCCGTGCACTGCAGGACTACTACCCTGGAGACTGCAGATTCATACCCATCAGACAAGGGCAGCTCATTTATGTGTATGCAATGCTTAAGGACAGAGGGAACCTTTTCTGGGCTGGCAGTGTAAGTAGGACAAATAATTAGGGGCTAAAAGCTTTTACAGTGTCTTATTGGGAGTCATGACATCACGAGCACTCACTGACTCAAATGTTTGTAGGTACAAGATTCCTACTACGGACAACAGGAGGCTCGCATCGGCCATTTCCCCAGCAGTGTGGTAGAGGAGACTCATCCTCTCATGCCAGCCGGAACCGAAGTCAAGACTACTGTAAGTGAACATTCATACATCCATGCAAATTTGTAGGCATGATTAAAAAAAATACCCTAATTGTACCCCCTCCCCCCCTTTTACAGAAATGGGACTTCTACTGTAACTGAAAAACAGAACAATCTTCAAACCAACAACGTCACAAGATAACTTTGGCATGTGATTTTTCATATAGGTAAGCATTATAGAAGTAGGTTAGCATTTCCGCTGTTGTTTTTACTCATGCATGTAGAAGATATCCCTTAAAACAACAAAAAGGTCCACAATGTATGCTGATATCATAATTAAATAATCAAAAGCCCTGAATTATGAACTATTGGTGCTTTACCATTTATACCCGTCTGTGTTATTCTTTATCCTATTGTTTATATCTGTTTTGAATCCATTCCATGTTTTTATCAAATTATAAAAGATAAATAATGTTTGTAGAAAAATAGACAAATGTGAATTTTAGCATGATTCTGCTCTAATTCAAGCAATCTGTAAGGTAATTATTTCAGCTGTGACTGTTTGTCAGAAAATAAATCTTCTAAACAAGCAATGTCTGCTAATTTTTTTAATTTCTGCTGCAAGAAAACCTCACCTATATAATTTGTTGGACACAGCAGTCTACAAATCATCTAATCAATAAAATTGAACAATGAAATAATGGGAATGAATAAACAATGAATAAGATGTGTCCATGGTTTAGATTCTGCTTAGGTAGGGACAACAAGAAAAACTATATTTTTGAGCACTGACACACATACAGACTTAAAAAGAACACAAATCAGGTTAATGATTTCAAGATTCAACATTTATTGTATTTGTTGTTTTATGTGTTAATCTGCCAAAGGGCTGTTACTAATGAAGGAATGATAAAGCTGTAATTGTTGCATCTAAAAGCACATGTGCATTCACTCCCACACTGACACACTTTCCTAGCAGCTCGAAGTCAATACCCCTTCAGCATTAGGGGCCCAGAAGTTCCTTCCCAATATTCCCCATCTATTTCCCTTTCAGTGACCCATCTCAAGTCCTTTTCTGGCATTCTGGCAAGTGAACAAACAAAATAAGTCTATTTTTGCTTCAAGAGACTCCATCCCCCTAACACATACAAAAACTATTCGCAAAGACATCTGGCACCTTACTTATATCCATTCACGCATTACTGAGTAATATATATACAACTAAGATAAACAATTTCAGCCTGTTTCCATCTTCAGAGGGGAATGATCTTTATCAGCATTGTGATATTAATTGGTTCTGCAAGCTAGTTTAAGTTCAGACATCAAATGTTTACAATTTTGCCACAAAATGGCAAGGCCAGGACAGACATACAATTTAAATGCATGGTAAATTTTAACTTAAAACTACATTTCCCCCAAGCTGTCATATGACTGTTAATAGGTTTAATATGTTAGCATTTGGGTTTACAGCACCATTGTCTTGAAGACTAACAGTGAGTAAGACGTTCTTTTAGAATGCCCTTGCACTTATTGACATCTACACTTGTATGCTCTGTCATACTGCCAAAAAAACTGTACCATGCAGGTTAAGTATAAAGACAGCACTTGTTAGTAGTGAGCATTTGCTTCTGCTCTACATTTTCTGTTTGGGAGTTCCAACTTCACAGGAAATGGGAATAGTGCGCTCTGGGCCAGAAGATGACCTTGGTGCAGTGATGGTCAGCACACCATCGACAGACAGACTGGAGGTGACATCAGTACCTGACACCCCGGCAGGAAGCCTGTACTTCCTCACAAACTCTCTCGATACAAAGCCATGGTCATCCTGGAAGCAGAATTAGCAGTATGTTAGTCATGTTATGTACCACCAAATTCTGTATGACTATTTCTGGAGTTGCATATATAGCCTCTGTAACCTGTTTGTCTTCATGCTTGGCGTGTACTGTGATGAACTCATCACTGACACTGACAGACAGCTCGTCGGGTGAGAAATGCTGCACATCCAGATAAATGACGTAGCGATCCTTTTCAATGCGCATCTAGACAGATGGCAAAGCTGTTAATTTTTGGACTGATTTAGGTGCATGCCTTATGCCTAAAGTCAGCTTGTTGTTGTTGTTTCAGTGCAATACTTCAACTTTTTTTTACACGATTAGGCTGGCATCAACAAGAGAGAGAGAAAAAAAAGTATCATCATGTCAAAGGAATGTGTTCATATTTTAAAAGCAATAAATCAATTGGCACAATATTTGACATTCCAATACAGCCTTAAGTGATGTACCAGGGAGGAGTGAGCAGTGCATCGATCTGACACCTTAATCTATTAGTCCAATTAGCGAGCAAACAAACTAATGCAGTGTGTTAATAGCTGAGAGTGTATTGTAATGCACAAACTTAAAAACACCAGTAATTTGTATTATTTGCAATTTCACATCAAATAGGGTACTTAGTATCAGCCAATTTTCTAGGTATCATAATCAATATTGGGAAGAAAAGAATGATCAGAACATCTTTTGTTATTAAGATATAGCATCAAGAAGAGGATCGGAAGATACTATTTTATTCAGTAGTCAATGCAATGTCATGCAGGACAATCACATAATTGTCTTATGAATTTTACTTTACCTCACTGTGACCATTCTCAGACCAGTTAAACCAGCGCCAGAATGAAGGGCGACTCCAAGGGAAGGACCAGGGTGAGGGCCAGATTAATGGCCAATCAGTGAGAGGTTCTGCCAAGGAGAGGTCAGAGAAGCGATGTGGGAACGCCCAGCGGTACCAGGGATACTTAATGGGGATATCCATGATGAGGTTCCAGAGAGGATGTGAAAAAAACAATGATAGGTGGTATCTTGGTTTGTCTTGGTCTCAGTTGGGTGCTGCTATGCTCTCCAGCTGCACATTTATAGGCCTTTCCCTCAAATCTCATCTGGGCTTTGTCAGTGTTCCCATCCTCTGCATCCCCCTCCCCCTCCACCACCGGTCATGCACACTTGCACAGTGACTCTGCCAACATGCTGATCTTTCTGGAACAATGATGTCAACTATTTGTCCCTTCATTGGCTTCATTGTTTTAGCTGTCTGGCTGTAACTGGTTGCCACCCCCCCCTCCCCCCCCCCTCTCTCTCTACAACTCTGTGTTTCTATCAAACTCCTCTCCCAGTCATGAGTGACCCTGGCTCAAAGTACTGCTGATGCCCCCCATACCCTTTCCCCAGGAAATACCCCTGTCTGGATCTCTGTGTGTCTCTGCGTGTGATTGTGTGTGTTTGTTTGAAGAATAGCTGCCAGAGCATTAGCCTGCTGTTCTCTGAGTGCCAGAAGCTTTAGGTTTGTGAGCAGAATGGATGTGAGCTTGAATGAGAACTGATGAGTTTGTATGGGAAAGCATTAGGTGACACTCCACAGCTCGTATCATTTTGCTATGAGCTCAGATGAAAAAACTTTTGTAGTTGTGCCAACCAAATTTCTTTCAGTCTCTTTCTCATCCTCCCACTTAGGTTGTCTCCAGTGTGGGATAGTTGCACCGATTACATGTGTTTTATTATCTGCAATAATGAAGATGTGAATCTGATGTCAAACATTAAGCCCTTGCTTTGTTGATTTGGAAAATGTTTGCCTTCACAACAAAAAAAGAGAACATTTCAGTGCGCACATCCAGGCAAAATGCAGACAGGTGCAGGACAAGATAACTGCAGAGAAAAAGGTAAAAGGTCTGCACACTGTTTGGCTCCCAATCCAAAATAAACAGTGTGCGGACCTTTTACCTTTTTTTCTGCAGTCTTTAAAACAACAACAACAACAACAGATTGTGTGCAGTACAATTGTATAATTGCTTTAATCTTTCAGTTACAGAATTGCTTAAAGCTACAACATGTTGTAATATTATAAGATTTTAAGTGTCAGGATAATAGTGAATTGACTTCAGCCTACTAAAATATCTCTCTAAAGTCTTCTATTATGCTGCAACTTGCAGTAAAACCCATAAAGTTATGAATTAAGTAACTGTATGGTAATTGATTATAGGTAAAACTAGGCAAATTAATTTTAGTAAAAGAACATTTTTGAGAAAAATTCGAACAAATATTTTTTCCTGACTGGAATGCAGTTGTTTTTTTTTTGTTTTAAAAAAATAAATAAAACTACCTGAGTCATCATGGGAAGTGATAATTTTGGATTCTCCTGCTTTATCAAATCTGCCAACTTCCATGCTCAAATTAACAAATTTAGCAACGTCTTTTTTTCACTATGTAGAAACTACACGAGAAATTACATCAATCTCAACATAATGTGTAGTTGCAAAGTGAAGGTGTTTCGGGATCAGATATAACCAGAGAGCCTTATAATAGAGAGTGCTCTGGTGATATAACGTGATGAGTTTGGCTGAGACAGGAAGCTGTCTGTTTAGACTCGTTACCATGGTGACGTGGTTCACCTCAAGTCGTTTTGACCAGTTTTGTCGATGGCTAACAGACAGTGAGCTGTTTGTGGATTCAAATTAACGCTCTGGCCGCAGAAATGGAATTGACGGCCTCATATTACGGGAAACTTGATAAAAGAAACCCAGTTGTTTTAGCTTTTGAACGAGACATCAACTCATTTGTAACAGCGATAAGGCGAGTCGCTTCTTCGAGCAGCCAAGATGACGTCTCTTACGCGAAAGGGTGAGATATGACCAATTAACGTTTAGCTACAAGGTTAATATTACCGTAATTGTAGAGTTTATCAGTATTAGCAAACAGCCTTGTGTTTTTTTAAGGGTCGTATTAGATAACTGCAATATGGGCCACGAGAAAGAGTATCACAGTGGGCCTCCATTTTTTTCTAAAAGGCATCCCATCCTTGCCAAGGGTTCATGAGTTTATTAGTATTTATTGCGCTCATGAATTATCATTCAAATATGTCATGCTGTCTTGTCACTATGTGGCCTATGCAGTAAAGTTACTATGCTCGTGAAAACGTTTTTTTACTCACATTTTTTACTGCATGCATTTTGAAAATATAATACTTCAGCGTCCATTGTCTGTGCTTAAAATAATTTTTAACATTCGCTCACGTCAGTAATACATTATTTCCTGTAGGATTAAAATGCTGGTGGAGATATGGGAGAAGTACAAACCTCGACTGCCTTTGCATTTCTACCAGGAGCGCATGTTGGACATTGCAGATTTTCTTTTGGGGATAAAGGTAATTCACTGTAGCTAAAGCAATAGCTGTGATTATTTGGTTTGACCAAATGGATAAGAGTATTTTTTCTGACTGCATTTCCTTTAAAGACACTCTTTTTGGTGGTGTGCCTTGTTTGCTTACTAGGAAATTGGCCAGTCACAGGAAGCTGATACCAAATGCATCAGGGTCAGAAATATGTAAATCAATGTCATAAAGTGAAAAATTAAGTATTCTTTGAGTTGGAAAATAAAAAAAATCTGTGTAGTTGGAAAAGAGCAATTCCATGAGAGTTGATATAGAGTACAAAATCTCTCTATTTACAATGTGTAACACTTCATGTCAGCAATGTATTTTGAATAAAGTTAAATTACAGACAGACAGTGTTGGTCTTCAAAATTCAAACTGGTGCATGTTAAATTAATATGAACATAAATGTTCTCATCATACAAAGTGGCTGGTCAAAGGTAACTATGGACACAAACACAGTAGCGAAAGTGAACAGGAGTGTTTGGGTTTCCTTTTAACACTCCAGTTTCAGGTTAGTTGTGGAACAAGTTTAGTTGTTGAATATATGTTGTTTTGTATTATTGTTAAATACTACATGTTGTGTGTAGAACTGTTGTCGCACTCAATGTTGTGATGTTGTACTGAATGTCTGCAATCTGTGATTATTTGCGGCACTTGGCTTGCTGCCTCATTACTGAATCACAGCCTTGCTGATTTTCAGTACAACCCATAAGGCATTTTGTTTGTTTACACCTGCAAAACTATAACTTCACCAATTGTACATGTAAAGAACAATAGCAAATAGAACATATTCACAATTGCCATTCTGTGTTTCTCCCCTCTCCTCCTCTCCTGTAGTCATATCAGTTGGCTCTTTGGCATGGTTACAGTCTCCATCTTCTGCAGTTCAGTTTAGTTGAAATAACTGAGATCACAGATGTGGACCACTACATGGCCTGCTTCTTCCCTGACGGATTTGATACAGACCAAAATATCTTAACCATGAAGGTAGAATGTGCTGGAAAAAACACTATACTTCCTGTACTATATTTTTTCATGTTACCAAAAAGTTTTTTACATGGATAAATGATGTGGTATGGGGTGTTAGGATTTCTGAACCCTAATATATTTACTGTAAGTCATGTATCTTCCTCTGTGTGTGTGTGTGTGTGTGTGTGTGTTTGTTTGTATTTAGATCCGTGCCATGCAAGGCTGGGCCCTATGTATATTTGAGCAGGAAAAAAAGCACCCAGTCCTCAGCCAGAAGGGACTCAGCAAACTGCTTTGTGTGCTAAACTTCATCAGGGTCATGATGCAGGCTTTTCAGGAACATGAGCACCTCTGCTGGCACATTTATAATGGTACATTAATAATTTCAGCAATTACCTTTTTTTCTGACAAAAAAAATATCAAGGAGTTGTGTTGTCAAAGAGTAAAATTCAAAGATTGCCCAAAAAAGAAGTCATTTCTTATCAATTCATTTTGTGTACAAAGCAGAAGGGGTTTCACTTTATATCCATGTAAAGAGGTTGATTTCCAAATAGTACACTTTGATTCCCAGAATGATATGAAATAATGTTGTGACAATTACAAATAGTGAGCAACTGCATAATGATTATGTATATTACTTTAGTTTAAGTGAAACACAAGATTCTACTGTATATGATATTTTGTAGAGCTAATCTTTTTATTTTTTCCAGGTTCGTTACACATCTACAACATCTGTCGTTACCTGATGACTATGAATTATAGTGAACAGGTACTTAACTTAATTTCTTTTTTAGCAATAGATTATTATTTATTATTATTTTAATCATCTGTTAATATCTATGCATTTTTAAATTAATATTGATGTTTGGTATTCTCTGTTTGTTCTATTTTTTCTAACTTGTGAGCTATAAGAAACTCCTGAATTTCCCCCAGGGGATGAATAAAGTATTTATCTATCTATCTTTTAAGAAACTTTTTTTTAAAATTGTTTTGTTATGTTATATTGACTCCTAAAATAAGAGCTTAAATGGATGAGGATACAAGATGGTATGAAACAGATGTAGTGAATCTGATGTGAATTTAAAATGTGGAAAGTGTTTTACCATGATGCTGATGGTGATCTACATAGCCAGTGAAATACCAGTTTATTTGATTTGTGCTTATTGTGAATGGAAAAAATATACAATGTATGTCAAAGGCATGCTTTCATTGATTCACTCTTTTCTGAAAGTTATTTGGTGTGCCAGGAAAGTATTCGGTCCATGAAAGTCCCCAAACCAGTAAGTAGTCATATAACTGTAAGTGTCACAATCCTATAATCCACCTTTTATGATTTGATCCAGGCACTGGAGTATCTCCTGTGGGCAAGCATTAGCTTAGAGCTCTCCATCCCTATGATGACTTCCAAGAATCTGTTGTGGATTGTTACACTCTATTGTGCTGTCTGCCACTGTTACTACGACATCCAGGCGGAGGTGCAGGCAGAGGTGAAAGACAAAAATAATCTACATCTAGATAACAAAATAACGCATTCCTATGAGTAGACAGATTACAAGATACAAGTTGAAAAGGTCAGCTGTTGTTGATCAACCTTTGCAGTTCATTGTTAGACAGCCTGCTAGCAACATATTTGGTGTTTAACTTGCTTTAGAGAAGATTACCTTTAATTTTGCTCAAATTTGTATCTTTTTGATGAGATATGACTGTTCAAAATAAATAAATAATTTATTCATTCCTCATGCTTAGCTTATAACGTGTTAAAAAATATTTCTGGTAACATATTTAAAATGTATAAACACCTTTTAACTAAATGGATTCCATGTGATGAGTACCGCTAAGAGTTTTCTGTGTGTTTTCTAATGCTTTCAGGAATTTGCCAGGAGAGCCCTTGGAAAGATCGATGGGCTAGCAAAGATGGAGGAGCAGAATGAAGTCCCTGCCACCAGAGAGACCCAGAGAGCTTACAGAGAAGCCTCAATCAAGGCAGGAGACTTCTCCAATTGAAATATGATCTTGAAAATCTTATGAAATCTTAGAGAGTTCTATGTCATAGCAATCAGTGACACATTAAGTAGAGAAATGCAAGGCAGATAAAGCACAGATTCGACATATCTACATATATCTACTAAATTAAGTCATCATTGGATGTGGGAATAAGACTCATCAAGGATTGTATATGTCTGACTTTTTTTTAACTCTCTGTTCCCCATTTCACAGTTTATTGTTTTCCTTTACAGTGTTGATATGTTCTTTTTTGGTATTCAAATTCAAGCAGATTTAAACTTTTTTTTCCAGCTGGCTGCCATGATTTTCAAGCGGGCTGTGTTTGAGGACAGAATGAGACCCAAATCCATGCTCAGAGTCAAAACCAAAAGCACCTTGAAGGACATACCTAATGTAATAAGATCAACTCTACTGCATTTTCATTATTTTCAGTCTTAAATGTCTTCCTGAAGTGTACTATCACTTAATACCGATTACCAAACATACCCCTTTTAGGTTGAAATACACATTATTGTGAAAGTTAAGTTGCAAGGCTGCTGTATGGATAACTGCACTTTCTATTATTGTTAACTTTTTAACCTAAATTCACAGGACTTATTTTAATGCTCTTGAATAATTCATATAATTGTTTTTGTAGTTGCTGTTTCCTACCTTTTGTATCTTATTAGAACCAGAGTAATTGTATATCAGTATCAATAGTAGACGGTTGTTTACTCAAATGGTCATCACATTAACTCTATGAATAATTGTTAAACTCTTGTAAAATTACCTAAGATTGCATGCTTGTCTGTGTTAACTGTAGGCGCCATGGCCTCGTACTACAACAGAGCGAGTGCTAATGGGCCTGTTTGACAGCAGTGCAGCACAGTTTTTGGGGATCTTGGAAGCACTTTGGGACAGCAACAAACGTCCACTGGAGACCAGGATACCAGATGAACCAGAGCTTCAGGAGGTGATTCTGGAACTCCTGTCAGCTGGCATCAGTATAGTATCTGGTTGGTAAAACAAACTCAACAAGAAAACACTGTCAGGATAAAATTAAGAGGACATTTAAGAGGAAACACTTAGAAGATGCTGATACTTTTTAAATGCGTTAATTATTATTTGGTATATGAGATGAGTGTTTACTCCTATAGTGTCATGAGTAATGTACTTTTACGTCTTCTGTTTAGAAATATCTACTGGTGAGTCTCTTGATGTGACCCCAACATCCACTCTGATGGACTTAGCCATTACAGGTAAGTCCCTTTCTCTTTTTTCTCTCACATTAATGTCAACATCGAAGCACTTCAGTGCTGCAGGGTGTTTCTGATATACATTATTTTGTGATTTTATTTAATATGCTGTGTTGCCAGGAGAAAACAAAGTACCCCTCATTTCTGCGGTGCGGTTCATTAAGCTGTTGTTTCAGTACAAGCAGCCAGATACTTTCGCTGAACTTTCCAGAGAGATGCTGCAGGTTTTGTCTGTGAGTACAAGCTTTAACTGTGGGTTTCATTATTCATCAAAGGGGAAGTGTCTTTGGGTTTGTGTCTGAATTATCCTGAGTGTCTTCTGCGACTTTCTGTGTTAGAGTGTGGAAGGTCAGCCATTCAGGAAGGCAGAGCTGGAACTTTCCCTACTTCACAATTTCAACAGTGTGCTTTCGTCCCAGGGGAACCATCCTAAAGGGGAAAACATGATTGATGGTACCACTACTGATACTGATGCCTCTAAACATTATGATTTCAAATAATTCAATACTGATGGTAGTTATCACTGAATTATGATGTTGTATGTTTGTTGTATGTTTCCAGCAGACAGACACAAGCAACATTTCCAAATGAGTGATGAATTTACTGACTTGGTGGACACCCTGCACAGGGCTGTTTGTGGCTCTGCACTTGTAAGTTTTTATTAAGGCCGGTGCAATCGGTGCATCTCTAGTTTTCATGTTGTGTGTTTGTTTGAGGTTAATCTACCAAGGAATCAAATTCAATTAAATGTAGAGTTCAGGATAGGAGTCATTTTAAGGTTTTTATATAATGATGGTAACTGTTTGTGTAGGAGGTGCAGCCAGATGGGGACCTGGTTTTGGATGCTGTGATATTTCTGTGGGATCAAGTGAAGGTGGTGTTTCAGATGGATCAAATGCAAAACCCTAATTACCTTGAGAAGGTAGATAATTATGATAAGGTATGTATAAAGGAAAGATCAGTTTGACCAAAAAAAAAAAATGAACATAAATTCACTTTTACAAATTATAATGATGACTTCCACCTTTTTATACTTGCTTTCTATATGTATTTTTTTCACATGTTTGCAGTGGCTGTGGTGTCTGTCCTTGCTGTTTGAGGTGGCATTATTCTGTGACCTTGCAGCTGTTGACTGCATAATGATGGCAGAGATGATCCACACATTGGCCATACAGCTTGAGAGTGCAGCTGAACACAGTGGTCAAAACAAAAGTCAAGGTAAGAAATACGGTTCTCCTGTTTGCCCTCTCTCACGGCATGGCTGAATTATCTTTTCTACAGGATCTTGTGTGTGCATACAAATATTAATCTTTCATTTGACTACAGTCACACTGCAAACAAACATGTTTCAAACCATACAAAAGCTTTAACATTATATTTATTCTCGTGTTACGTTTAGCTGCTTGTGAATCACACGTTGATGGTTTGAAGCAAAGAACTCTCTCTTTTTGTGAGGTATGTTAATAGTTTATATGTGCATATGATAAAAAATGACACATACAGTGTCAATTTTGAGACTTAATAAAAAATATTGAAAACAAAATGCTTGTGTTTTGTGTGTGTGTGTGCTTGCAGAGTTCAAGCACAGAGCTGCTAAAGAAGGTGTGTGATGTGGTGGTGAGGGGGCTTGAAGCTCTGGCGAAGGGTGTAGTTACACTGCTGCCCCAAGATTGCTCAGCAGTCATAGACTCTGCTTTCATGCAGGTATACAGTCAACATGTCCAACACTCATTTGGAAGAAGTTTGTAACGCATGTGTTTTTATTCTACCACATTGCAAGCCAAGCCAAGAATTAATTAATTAGTCCTGCCTGCTGTGAAAACATGCTTTTCTTTTCTCCTGATAGAAATTCAGTCCCAAGCCTCCATCAACCCCCTCCCCATCTTTTCTGACATCATCAGAAGAGGTAAATAAAGAAGATGAAAGTACGATGGAGACAGATGATGTGGAAGTTACAGGAGAGTCATACACTAAAGTTCATCAACACACTCAATCAACCCGTGTGTACCTGCTAATCAAGGACCTTCATCATGAGCTAAACATCATCTACCACAGGGCTTTCCTCAAGTTACTGAGGCAAAATGCAGGTCAGACTCACTACCTAGTTACGATGGGATTTTTCAGATTTATTTAACTTTGCCTTCATTGAGTTTGTACTCATTTTTAAATTGATTTGAACATAGTCAAATATTTCAATTTAAGAGGAAGTCTTTGACTTTGTTTGATGGCTTAGAAAAAAAATGAATTAAAAAAATTCTGTATCTGCTATCAATTGTCATAAATTGTCGACACAAATAATGAGCCTAAATACTGTTTTTTTGTCTTGTTGGTTGTGTCTAGTTGTGGAGTGTGAACACTTGGATTGGATTAAGAAGAACAAAGTGGCCAAAGCTCTTTTCCTGATCCAGAAAGCCTTGGTGGTTTACAACAACATGGAACCAGATAACAGCAGCAAAACAAAGAGTCTGCTAGAGGTAACTCATGCTCAAACAATTGATAATAATAATAATAATACATTTTATTTATAAACGCCTTTAAAGACACACAAGGAAACTGTACAACAATCAACATTTAAAAAACAACGATGGGTAAAATCAGCATACAATAAAAGAAATGAAATGTAGGAAAGTGTAATCTACACCTAAAATGTTAGAGTGAGTAGGCGATCTTGAACAGATGGGTTTTGAGTCTGGATTTGAAGATGGGGAGAGAGTCAATGTTACGTATGTCAGGTGGCAGAGAGTTCCAGAGCTGTGAGGTCCACAGTGAGGTGGATGGAGGAGGAGGATCTGAGGGAGCGTGCTGGAGTGGAGATGTGAAGGAGGTCAGACAGATATGGAGGGGCGAGGTTGTGGATGGCCTTGAAGGTGTACAGGAGGAGTTTGAAGAAGATTCTCTGCTTCACCGGGAATTGATGTTTGTCTTTAAATGTGAACATGTATATACTATGGAATTAAACACGTATTTAATGAAAAAACATGTAAAACATACCTTCAACAAAATATCACCCAGTGTTTGTATCTATGACTGAAGGTGGCCTCAGTGGCACTTTTAATTTCTGCTTGACTTTTAAAGTTAAATTCTACAATTCTGCAATTTCATTTAGCATCTGAGAGAAGGTAATACACAAGCAAAGATCTAGATAGGAGGACACAATATCAGTAAGGGCCAACAAATATATTAAATTCCAATTGGACACAGGTGCTGACAGGCATGGTACAGCACAGAGGCAATGCTCAGGGTGTATAGAACAGATTGGTCTTTTTTATTTTCATTTTTTTAAATCATCATCAACAACAACAAACTCAACAGCATCATCATCAGTATTATTATCATCACAAATATTTTTATCAGCATCATCCTCAATATCGTCATCTTGTAGCACTGTTACAAATGAGTGGTTTTGGAGTTCAGATTTTCTGTATTTTTTTTGCCAGGAGGCCTCCACCATGATTGATAAAGCAGGGTTGGAAGAGAGAAAACTGTATTTGTCCACCACCCTTAAGACTTCAGCTGAAAACAAAGAAAAGGGCATGATGGGGGAAGAAGAAAGCTCTCCACCTCCTCCAGTCTTACTCGCACGCACAGACCGCTCTTTAACCTTTGCCCCGGCACCTTATAAATTAGAGGGACAAGTGAGTTTTTGTTTTGAAGTCTTTATTCACCATTCTATTAAAAAATTGCAAGTAACCCAACACAATATGTACAGTATACTTTTAATATATCTCTCTGTACTTTTATTTCTGACCAGGTGTTCTGGTACCAGCTCTATGGCCGGGCAGCTGATAGCATTAACCGGAAAGTCCGTCTTGGAGACGGCAGCCTTCCAGGAACAGGAAATATGGTAGAATTACTCTCTTTGACAGAGGGGTGTAAAGTCTATTGGCACACATTTCATTCATCTTGTATGTTCTTGTACATGCCCGTTATAGTAAATTACTTTGCACATTTTCAGATACCAGCAGTATCCGGTGAATGTGTGCTGAAGGTGGAGGGGCTGGAGCCCAACCAGAAGTATGTGTTTGCTGTTGCAGCTTACAACAGACAAGGCAAGCTACTGGGCAACACAATTGGAGCAACAACATTCCCACTGATGGCATCCATGCCAATACCACTACTTTCCTCTTTGGCCCACTTGGCACAGGTAAACTTCACACTTGTACGCTGACATATTGCACTGATAATGTATTTTGGAGCAAGAGGGAGCTGTCAGTCAAAACATTACATCCACTCTTTTGAGCATCAAATAAAGACTGAAACTAAACATCTGTGAAAAACAAACAATTTTACTTAAATCAGCATTATGAGAACTAATAATAAAACCAAATTTGAGAAAACATTATTTCACATGTATTTTAATGTCATAGTTTGACCAATATTCCATCTGTTAACATGGAGAAGGCAGAGTGTTTTTATTACCTATACAGCAGTTAATTAGCAGGGGGAGCTCCAAATATTTAAGCTTCACTTTAGGGGAGTGGTTGTGCCATACATCTTTTTTTTTTTACAGTCTATAGTATGCACTATGATTTTAGCTTTTTAAACTTGTTCCTCAGGTGGCATTTCAAACAGAGCAGTATGCCATAGCAAAGAGAGCCTGCATGGAACTATGGAGCCACTTTACTTACCTCGACCCTGAGTCCCACAGCTCACAGGACAGACTTGCTGCCACAGGGTGAGGAGGGAAACATTCAGACATCACCATAGTTGAAGTAAAGACTTTTTTATGCCTTGCATTTCCTAATCGTCTTTTCTCACTATCTCTATTTACCATGCTGAAGGCTGTGTGTCCAGACCCTGCATTGCTCCTCTCCTCAACTGGTTCAGTTGTTCCTCATGTCAATCTTCATTGAGACAGAGATCAATATTCAGCAGGGATCACTCTACAGTGAATCACTCAGTCATAATGGACCCTTTATCTGGGAAAAGGTACTATTTGCTCTAAGTACAGGATGTATGTATTTTTAAGAGGAGGTGACTGGAACATAAAGACAGTAGGGCCAAACAGTGTAGTTTTTTTTAAATTATTATTATTATTACCTATATTATAGCATTCTCTTTGTGAAAATGGTTCCTTTTTGGTGTTTTTTTTGTTTTTTTTACTGAGCCTCCGAGGGCTTTGTGCAACACAACAAAACTCCTGTTTTAAAAAGTTTCACTGGGCAGAAAAATGACCGAGGCAGCCGATAACATACCTGGGCGGCCGTAAATAAACCCGGTCGGCCCACCTAGGTGGGAGACAAAGAGCACCACATGTTCCTGTGTCTCTGCGGCCCCCCAAGGGAGTGAACCCCAAACTTTGAGAAGTCATATAGCGATGACAATTTTTTCTACACCGGTAGTTTAGGCGGAGGGTGTGTGTTGTTAAGGCAGGAAACACTGTATTTATGTTAACCAAGGTTAAATAATTTGAGTTAACATGAATCATGAATGATTTGTGCATGTGTGTCTATGTAGGAAGCCAGACTGGCAGAATGTGAGCGAATGCTGGTGGCCACAGATGTTGCATTGCGGTTAAATGATGGCGATGCTGCTGTGCAAGCTGTGGTTGCCTGTTATGGCCTCTTGGCACCTCTTATCTTTCATCAGATCAAGTGTAACCATGTAGTAGAGGTAATCAAAACTGTTTCAAAACTTTGAAATCTTAATAACCTGCCTGAGAATGGCTTGCTAATAGCATAATTCATACTACAAATAATTGTTAATGTATTTTTACTCCTGATTCTGCTCAATCTGTTTTTTTACATACAGGTGCTCAAAAAATGCTTGATTGTTTTGGAGGAGAATTCAGGTGTTCTTAAACATAAAAGGACAGGCAACACCGCAGAGTCATTCATGCACATGATAGCCTGCATTACCTACTACCTGTCGAAGGTATGTCTTGATGTTTTTATATTCAGCTTCACTGCTTCTGTGGCAGTATAAATTTCCTTGATCTTAAGTGTGAGAGACCCACATCTTTGAAATTACTACTAAATGCAATCTTGCCATTAGCTTGCTTCTCGAAATTTGTGTTCAAGACATAATCAGTCAACATTACACTTACCTCATGTTAAATTATTATCTCCTGCAAGAAATACCTTAATATGTTTAAATGTCATTTTTCATACATTTACATTATACATGTATTGTACCAATGTTTTTTTTAAAGTTTTAGTAAGCACACTCATCCACATCATCTTTCAATTCCACAATATCCAAAGAGAAAAGAAAACCAACCAGGAGGCTTTTTAAAAATAATTTGTCATCCATTATTCTTCCTGGCCAGACATACCGTGTGCTCCAGGATCCCCAGATGGCTACTGTGATGATGGATTGTGGTCGAAGGCTTCTCCAAGAGGTCTATGATTCCCAGATGCAGAACACCAGATTCACAAATGAGGCTGTGGGTATGAGAAACACTGGAAAGGTGAAGCTTTCTTTAATTAGAAATGTTGTTTCATTTCTAATTCTTTCTGGGAATTAAGTCTGTTTTTGTGTTTGTAGTCTAAAACACATGGTCGAACAATCAATGGTGATAGGATAAGTTTTCAGCTGAAGGCACTGCATTTAAAGAGCAAGGAAAGCATCTCACCTGAAGCAGCTGTTTCTGCAGACAATGGTAAAATAAAATGTTTTAGGATGAGTTATCACACTGTGTCAAACATAATACATATTTGGATAGTACACAGAGATTTGATTGGCTTCTCTTGTCTTTTTACCATAGAAATGTCATGCCCAATGAGTAGCAGTGAAGATCCCACCATATTGTATGATCTAATCTCTAACAGTCCATTAAAGGATGCCTACCAAGAGTGTAAGTAGGACACGTTCCTATATTCTTTCCAAACATACTTAATAATAACTCATTATCATTGGCTTCTATGTTTTGTGTATGCATTCTTGATAGTGATGAAGCTCAAACGCAAGGCATATTTTACTGAGTTTGCAGCAATTCTTCTCCAGAGAACCATGGAGGAAGGCAACCCCGACCTTGTGCTAAAGTGGGGGCAAAATATACTTGAATTTCTTTCCAGGTGAGTTTTCACTGTGTACCACTTTGCATATGAAAAAATAATAATTTGGGTGCTGGTGGCGCAGTGGTTAGTGTGTGCGCCCCATGTATGGAGGCTTTACCGGTTCAAATCCTGGTGCGGATCAAATCTGGAAGTTGGTCTGGTAGCTGGAGAGGTGCCAGATCACTTCCTGCGCACTGCCGAGGTGCCCTTGAGCAAGGCACCAAACCTCCCCCCACCACCAGCTCAGGAGCACCTGCTGTGGGCAGCTCCCTCACTCTGACATCTCTCCATTAGTGCATGTCCATAGGATCCTGTTTGTACTATATGTAAGCCTATGTGTGTGTTGCATGACTCATTAACAGAGTGTAAAAACAGAATTTCCCCTTGCAGGGATCAATAAAGTAAATCTTCTTCTTCTTCTTCTTTGCTCCTCGAAGCTCAGGTTCAAATTCCACCTGTGGCTCCTTTCCCGCGTGTCATTCCTGACTCCCTCCCTGATTTCTGAATCTATCCACTGTCCTGTCTCTCAATTAAAGGCACAGAAAGCCCAAAAATAAATCTTACAAAAATAATAATAATTCTAAAACCAAAGATTTGCAGCTTTCACTTTTATATTCAAATAGTTACTTCCACAGTCAAAATGGCAAGCTATGCATACCAGTTAATGTTGAGTTCAACTCATACTCTACTTTAATATAATGCATCTGTTTTGCCAATGCAAATTAACACTATGTAAATGCTTCTCTCTTTGTCAGGCGTGACAAGGTGCTGGGACTGTCCAAAAAATATTTAGAGGGAAACAGCCAAAGTAACAAAAGAGGCAGTGCTCAGGCTGCAAAAGGAAATGAATCGCCCCAGGTAAAAACACACGCACGCACGCGCACACACACACACACACACACACACACACACACACACACACACACACACACACACACACACACACACACACTGTATACTGGTACACATACAGGTTTTATTTGAATACTGTAAAACCAACAAAAATAGTGCAAAAAGTTATCTCCAGAAACAGATAAAGTAGTAGCAGCTGCTACCAACTATGTAGCAGAATTATTTAGACATTCCTTGGGGCTGGTTCATAATTTGATTGCCTTTTGTATACTAGAGACCAAAAATATTTTTCCTCTATCTACATAAGTAAGTAATGGTAAGTTTCCCAAAATCCATTTATGGGAACTTGGACTTAAAAGGAAATGCATTAAAAACTACAGATAATGTAAATCTACTATTTAATTGTTGTAAAATTTATTAGATAAAATATATGCACTGTCCTTTGCCTTATCTGAAAAAATATATAAATACTGTTTCTCCCTTTAAAGCAGAACAAGATTACAACTTCTCACACTGACCCAAAAAATAAATTGAAGCAGAAAATTCCAAAGGATATAGTGCAGAGAATAAGAACTAACAGGTACAGTACTGTATGTGCAGTGTTACTTTCTGGATGTCTTTGTTTGTCTGTGTGTGTTTTTAGAACGTTATGTGCACTTAACTTGTGTCTAGGGAGATGCAGATCGTGGAGAACCTTCTGACCATGATGTCATCTGTGGTGAAACGCAGCAAGAAGCAACTTCAGCTGAGGAGCATGTGCTGTGAGGAGAGAGTGTGGAGGGCTCATCTCAATTACTGCTTGGCTCAAGCTCATTTAGCGCTTCTTTACCAGAGCCTGGACAAGCTGCATGGAGAAGCGCTGCAGCACAGGTTCACTCAAACAAATACAGCAAATTTACTTAAACTTTTCTGTGTTATTCTGGTAACTATTGATCATTTATATATTACTTCACAAGGGCTACTACAATAACATATCATAAATTATGTTATATTGCTTATTGGCCCTGAGCATGTAGCTTACACTTTAGTGATAGTTTTGTTATTGGTATTATTGCTACAAAAAGTGTTAAAATATTTAGCATCTACATAAACTAAATATTCATTCACATGTATGCCTATTACAAGATGTGCTGCATGTGCTTTATTTCAGGTACAGCTACTTAAATCCATTGAGCTTCTCTCTGGCCTACTCTGGTGTCCTGATGCCCAGGAACTCACAGCAACAGCAGTCTCCCAAACATGAGGATGTCTCAGAGAAAGACCCCTCTCATTCTGTTCTCAGGCACTATGTGGCTGTACACAAAGACAAGAGCAAAGACAAAGGTGAAAAAAATTGCACACTCTTTGAGATAGAATGGATGAAAAATTATCATCTTGTATGTGTTTGTGACTTTTCTCAACCTTTTCTTCTAGCAGTGAGAGTTGATGGCTCTATCACAGAGGAGAGCTGTGAGGATGGAGAGGACTCTTCTTTTACTGTAGAACAGCAGATTGACATCAACAGACTTGCAGCCACCTTGCTGTTGGACTCTCTAAACAAAACTGCTTTACATCTACAAAGATCCATGGTACAGTACGATTACACACAGATAAAGAAATGCTGTGATCACATGTGATCATAGACTGTAAATCCAGCCTTTGGTTACTTATAGAATATTTTACATCTTACATCTATTTTATTTCATTGATATACTGTACTGCTGTATTTTACATCTCTCTTTGTATTATTTTTCCAGGTATTGGCCCATCGTGGCAGCCACTGGACCTACCTGCAGTATGTGTGTCAGAGTGTGTGGGACCAAAGTTGTAGAATCAGTGACTTAATGCAGAAAGCTGCACAGCTTGAACCTCCCTCCACTGTCACAGCAGACCAGCTGAATACCACATTTACTCCACTACTGGTGCTATCTACTGATCTCATCATTGACATGCTGAATAGACTTGGGGTGAAGTAACACTCAGCTATACACACACATTTAAAAAGTCATAAAATAATTATCCCTTTTTAAAGGATAAAATAAGGTTTCAACGTCTAATGTAATATGTAGGCTGCCAATTATTGCTACGGTCACCACAGTCAGTAAATTGTCATCTGAACAAAAAAAATTAACACCATCAAAGGGAAAATGACAAACCATCTGATCACGCTCATCTTTCATCTTCTACATTGTTCTTACCAGCTGTGGAGTTTGTATGACAGTGATCAAACTGAGGATGAACTAGAGTCCAGTCTGCACTTCTCAGCAACACTGGATGACAGCACACATGTGGACCTGCGTTGGGTTCGCACCTTGGTGTTCCACACTCTGGAACGTCTTCATGAAAATGGCAAATGGGAAAGCCTAGCCCACTTTGCCTTAGTTTACAACTTCTACACTAGGTACACTGGACGTTTACCATATTTCAATCATTTACAAGTGCAGCTAAGATGTTGTCAAAAAGCTTTTACACAGAGACCTTCACCAAGATTCACAATCACCAAGAAATATAATTTACAGAACTTATAGCAGAGATTTTAATTTGATTTCCACACAAAGTACTGCTGTTTTAATTATTTTAAAATGCTGTATTTTGGCACATTATAACCACTTAAAAATCCAGTTTTAAATAGATGATAGTCAACAGAAACATGATCTAGCCATACATGCCCATAGTTTTGTATGTTTGTGTCATCTCTATGCCTATCCCAGGGAACGTTATGCCTTGGTAGTAACTCCTCTACTAGTCCATGCTCAGAGAAGGCTGCTCGAAAGGATTAGTTCTTTTGGAGGACCTGCTGTTCCTCAACCACACCATGTCAAGACAAAGAAGGCCACCGGCAAGGAGGTCAGACATAGCCACGCACAATGTGAAGTATAAAAAACAAGCTAATAAAACGAACTTAAAGAAATATTGTGGGTTCTTTTTGCTATTGTGGGTGCTTTTTGCTTCAGCACCATATAGTTAGGACAAATTTGCCAAACCATTTGATTTAGCCTCATTAGAAGTGTAGTACCGGGATTTTTTTAATCAATGTCTTTTTTTTTTTTTTACACTTGTTTATTTTTTGTATTGTACTGTGTGAGTATATTTATGTGGCGTTACCTTTTTTTGTATTTCAGATAACTTGTAGGAGCTATCCCACTTGCCAGCTTCTCACTGGATCGAACCCTCATCCTTCACAGCAACCGGCCCTTCGCAAAAAAGCAGCAGTGACAAACTCCACTCCTCGAGAGGCAGTAGACATTAAAGGTTTGAAAAGACTCCATTATGTGATGTAATATTATAATATTTCACTCAAAACAACTGTTTGTAAGCATACATAAATGATAATGGCTGGCCAACAATTGAAAGGATCAAAATATATATTAAAAAAAAAACAGGAATGGTGGAGTGCTATGATACTACGGTTGGTATAAAGTGATCAAAAATTGCACTTTAAGAAAAACATACACAAAACCCAGGCTCAGTGGTAGAGTCGATCATTTGTCAACAGGAAGGTCAGGGGTTAGATCCCTAGCTTCTGCCCTGGGCAAGACATTTCTCCCAAAATTGCTCCCGCTGCTTTGACAGGGACGTGTGAATGTGTATGATTGGATTAAATAGAATAGATGAACACTTTAAATATTAGCCTCTGCCATCAGTGTGTTGATGTGGTGTGAGTGGGTGAGTGTGACCTGTGGTGTAAAAAGCGCTTTGAGTAGTCAGAAGACTAGAAAAGCACTATAAGACCTCAAGTCCTAACATGATTACAGATTGTGTTTGCATGTATACAGTTTTCATGCCTGTATGTTTGGTGTCTAAGGTGCGGAGCTGAAGCACTCCATGTCCCTCGTTTGCGTTCCCCTGGATGTAGAAGACACACTGAGCTGTTACCGTGAAGCTCTTGAGAGAAGACCACATTGTCTCCAGGTCTTCCAGCATAGTCGTTCATTGGGGCTACAGCTTCTGGCTTACACACAGCCCTGTGAGTTCAGTGATGATTGAATGAATGAATAAATTACTTTATTTCAAACCACATGTAAAAATAAGATATTAAAAGAAGGCAGAAGTAGTTTATTTACAACTAGTATACAAATAAGTATCCCTAGTTTATTTGCCATCCAAAATAAATCAATAACAATCCCAGTGTAGTTACAATCCTAATATCCACCAGTGTTACAAAATCAATAGAAATACACCTAAACATTTGCTCTTCAACATACTTGTCTTCTTTTTTATAGTTTTTGCTTTGTTTCAGCTCCTCACCCAACTCCACTCCATACCCTGAAATACAGACTCTTAGTTGTACTAACACATTTTTTTTAATTAAATTGAATGTTGCCCAGATGTGATTATTATTTTTAGCTTTAACCATAATTATTGCAGTCCAGATTTATAAATCACAATGCATGACTAAAAACAGTGTATTTTTGTGTTCCCTATACCCCACATTTCTCTCTTTTAAATCATACTAATGGTTTTAAGTTGTTTTTGTAAGTGTTGCCCCAAACTTCCACACAATTCATTCATATAATTCAGATATGGTAATATAATTGATGATAAACACACAAAAATGCTCTTAGACTAAAACCACTTTAAAATGTCAATATTTGCACTGCTTGTGTTTCTGTCCAGGCTTTTCCACACTGTCAAAGCCCTGTCAGAGCAGAAATCTGAGCCATTCTGCAAGTCTGGTTGATTTCAGTCCTGTAGTTATGCCAGCTCCAAACATCGAACCTTGCGACCTGACAGAGGAAGACTACAGTTCTTCAAATGCTCTCTACAGGCTCCCCATCAGCCCTGACCAGATGCTGACTGTCACTGCTGCATACTCCACCTCCATAAGTAAGATAGCATAAGTTGTCTATAGGTGGGAATGCTGAGTTTGATGTGTAATAGAGAGTAGCAGCAACCCTAATGACAAGACAATAACATGGCATATCTGAATGAAGTATGTCAATGTCACCAAACTCTTATTTACTTTCCTATACCTATCCAACCGTTCTTTAGAGTATCTCCAGGCAAACGCTCATGACTCCCTCAGAGTCCTGGCACTGCATGAAATGGGAAACCTGCAGTTCTACAATGGAAACACACGGTAATTATTTCTATGGCTGTTTATGTTGTGAATTTACTTGAAATTGTACAGCAAATGTCAGTAAGTTAGGCTTTTCATGATTTACCTTCCACTCTTTAAATAAATTCATTTATCCTTATATTTTATCTCCAGGGCAGCACACTCACACTGGAGGAAAGCCATAGATTGTGCCTTACAGAGCTTAGGCACTGTAGAGAAATGGGATGGTGTGTCCTTTGGGGGTGGCTCCCTGCAACAAATGATGAAACACGCTGGCATATGGGGATGTCTTCAGGCTGCTGTTCTTGCTGCAAAGATTGCACAGTAGGTTTTAGTAACATTCATGACTGATTTGAGATGCTTTTTAGCATATGTTGTGGGCTTAAAACCGGCCTGCTTCTGAGGTACCGGTAAATGTTTTGATCTTCAGGTATATCTTGACTTCTGATGTCAGCCAGAGAACCAAATGCTGTCTTCTGTCCGCCCACCTCTTCAAGGTAATACTTCCAGTGGGGTTTAATCTCTTTGCTCACACTTATATTTGCTATGTTGACAGGAGTCATGACTAACAAGTTTAACTGTTAGTTTGTTTTTGTTCATTCATTTTGGCATGCTTATCTGTGTGTTTCTGTGTGTTTTTGTCACCCACTTCCCTAGTGTGTGCTACTTTGCTCCTTAGCCCAGCCTCAGGCTGATCTCCAGTATGCCAATCACAGCATTGGAGATGAACTTCTTCCTGGAGTTGACCTATTCTCTGAGCCCCACAGGCTTCACCTTGGCACCACTGTGGCAAGCATAAACTTTATTTGCTGCTGGCTTTTCACCACAGGATACCACATCACGGTACACTCATAACCTTTGTCCAACCACATTTTTACCTTAAATTCTCAACATACTGTATATAATTCACTCAGTGTTAACTCACGTTTAATATTTCAGTTACTGCCAATACTAGCTCTATACCAACATTTTGTGGGGACTGTGTGCAGAGATGTGCAGCGCACTGTTGAGGCAAAAATACTTAAGGTCAGCATTTGTATTGTTTTCTATAAAAAACATGTAGCCTACTGTACATGTTTTTCTTCATATGGTCCTGGCAGAGTTTAAAATCCCAGTTGATGTCTCATGCAGATACGTACCCTTTCTGAGCTCTGTCTGTTCACTGAAGCTGTAAAAGAATCAGTTCAACTAATACAAGGAACTGGGGTTCTTCTGCCGTATGGACAGTACATTGCCAAAAACAATCTCCAGGTATACGCATGCACGCACACATACACACAAAAACAAACGCACACAGTATTTTCCTTTTGGCATTTCTCTCCCTTAGCCTCTGTATACTGGTAATGACACATTTGTTGCATCATGCAACACTTTTGAACTTGTGTTTCTTATATTGTACCTGAAAGCTCTCTCAGGGATATGTGTGCTACATTCCTGTGTAATTTAAACGGTATTATGTTTGTTCTTTTTGCTACCTCTTCTTAGTATTCAAATGATTGTAATGTGTAATTGAACATGCCATAATTTGAATCAATGTAACATTTTGTTCCTATTGTACAGCCTGTGAAGAAATTCTACACCAACAGGTCTCTCTTGGACAATGCTGAGGTACATTATTTTATTCCATTAGATGTTCAAAGATCTTGGGGCATTTCATTAGTGTAATTCTGTCATGATTTCTAAGGTGCCAAATTGTGTTTGTTTTGGGTGAGTACAGTAAAAACATCATTCTCATATAGAATAATCATACAACTGTTGGGGTTTTGCAGAGCTAATTTGCGGGCAACAATTACGTTGGGTTTTATATCAGTCAAATTTGGTTAATTAATATTATTAATTATTAATATAAATCAACAATATTATTAAACTGAGTTAATAAAAACGGGGCACCACCCTGAAATCAGGGAAAATAACCAAAAATCAGTTTAATTAATTAATTAAAACTAATATTAATTATCTGTATTTAACTAAATAGAAGGCTGAGGTTCGTATACAAGTTTTTGCACCCAGCTTTATTACAATGCACATACACCAGTAATCACAAACAACTGCGTCAAATATATGTGTATATACAGTAGGTACGGAAAGTATTAGACCCCTTTACATTTTTCACTCTGTTTCATTGCAGCCATTTGCTAAAATCAAAAAAGTTCATTTTATTTCTCATTAATGTACACTCAGCACCCCATCTTGACAGAAAAAAAACAGAAATGTAGAAATTATTGCAAATTTATTAAAAAAGAAAAGCTGAAATATCACATGGTCATAAGTATTCAGACCCTTTGCTCAGTCTTGAGTAGAAGCACCCTTTTGAGCTAGTACAGCCATGAGTCTTCTTGGGAATGATGCAACAAGTTTTTCACACCTGGATTTGGGGATCCTCTACCATTCTTCCTTGCAGATCCTCTCCAGTTCTGTCAGGTTGGATGATGAACGTTGGTGGACAGCCATTTTCAGGTCTCTCCAGAGATGCTCAATTGGGTTTAGGTCAGGGCTCTGGCTGGGCCAGTCAAGAATGGTCACAGAGTTGTTCCGAAGCCACTCCTTTGTTATTTTAGCCGTGTGTGTGCTTAGGGTCATTGTCTTGTTGGAAGGTGAACCTTCGGCCCAGTCTGAGGTCCTGAGCACTCTGGAAGAGGTTTTCTTCCAGGATATCTCTGTACTTGGCCGCATTCATCTTTCCTTCAATTGCAACCAGTCGTCCTGTCCCTGCAGCTGAAAAACACCCCCATAGCATGATGCTGCCACCACCAGGTTTCACTGTTGGGATTGTATTGGGCAGGTGATGAGCAGTGCCTGGTTTTCTCCACACATACCGCTTAGAATTAAAGCCAAAAAGTTCAATCTTGGTCTCATCAGACCAGAGAATCTTCTTTCTCATAGTCTGGGAGTCCTTCATGTGTTTTTTGGCAAACTCTATGCGGGCTTTCATATGTCTTGCACTGAGGAGAGGCTTCCGTCGGGCCACTCTGCCATAAAGCCCTGACTGGTGGAGGGCTACAGTGATAGTTGACTTTGTGGAACTTTCTCCCATCTCCCTACTGCATCTCTGGAGCTCAGCCACAGTGATCTTTGGGTTCCTTTTTACCTCTCTCACCAAGGCTCTTCTCCCACGATTGCTCAGTTTGGCTGGACAGCCAGGTCTAGGAAGAGTTCTGGTTGTCCCAAACTTCTTCCATTTAAGGATTATGGAGGCCACTGTGCTCTTAGGAACCTTGAGTGCTGCAGAAATTCTTTTGTAACCTTGGCCAGATCTGTGCCTTGCCACAATTCTGTCTCTGAGCTCCTTGGGCAGTTCCTTCGACTTCATGATTCTCATTTGCTCTGACGTGCACTGTGAGCTGTAAGGTCTTATATAGACAGGTGTGTGCCTTTCCTAATCAAGTCCAATCAGTTTAATTAAACACAGCTGGACTCCAATGAAGGAGCAGAACCATCTCAAGGAGGATCAGAAGAAACGGACAGCATGTGAGTTAAATATGAGTGTCACAGCAAAGGGTCTGAATACTTATGACCATGTGATGTTTCAGTTTTTCTTTTTTAATAAATTTGCAAAAATGTCTACATTTCTGTTTTTTTTCTGTCAAGATGGGGTGCTGAGTGTACATTAATGAGAAATAAAATGAACTTTTTTGATTTTAGCAAATGGCTGCAATGAAACAAAGAGTGAAAAATGTAAAGGGGTCTGAATACTTTCCGTACCCACTGTATATATATATATATATATCCTCTCAATCAACTTGTCTAAGGTAGTCAAATAAAAATCCTAAAGCCTTCATTTTCTGAGTTCTTTAGTAAGATATCTATTCAATCTAAGTGTTATTTAATTTCTTTCAAGTTTCCACCATCCGTCTTCTTTTTGAACTATATTTCTGACAGTGTAAAAATGACATGTTCCACTGTCTCCTCTTGTCTACAGTAATCACATCTGCCTGTATCATGTTTTCCTATTTTACACAATTTATTATTTAATCCAGTGTGTCCAAATCTAAGTCTAGATAATGTTCTTTCATTTCTCCTATTTCTTTGCAAGGCATGCTGGGAGTAGTAGTCCTTTATCTTGTTTCCCTACAAATAATCAAATTATCTGTCTGGCTGGCCCCCAACACTACCAAGGTTTATTTGGTGCCATATACTCTGCATTGCCGTGGTTTATCATCTTATCTCCTAAACCAGCTCCCTGCAATTAAGCCTTCCTAACACATTCAGCATCAGTCCAAATCAACAAGACAGACTATACAATGCATTGAGAAAGATATATACATACACATACTTTAGGCAAAAATGTGATATTGCTCTGTATTCTATTCCAGTGCTACTTTTTCAGCCATGTTATGACAAATTAAGATACATGTTGTGTTTTTATTAATAGGTTTCCACTTCAATTGCACAAGAAACCCTATATTGTGAATATATTCTCTTTGTATGTGGTGTTTGTATTTAGGCTTTGGAAGAACTACTCAACACTGAGTTGGCTCCGGAGGTCTGCAAGGTGTATGGCTCCACATTGTCCCTTCGTTCTAAACTTGCTCGTATTCAACTTGTCCTGGCCCTCAGTAACACTGTACACGGTCCTCCAGTGCCAGGTCTGTAAACACTTACATCTCTTCTTTCTATTATCTTTGTTAAGTTTATTGTTTGTATTGTTTGTTTGTATAAAACAAAATATATTAAATTGACTTATTAGATTGCCTGAAAAAATAAGCAATTAAACTTTTAGATTGGCTATTTTTATGGGAATTTATTTTTTAAACTGGTCTGATGGGGCGTTATGAGATTTTATATCTGCATCCCAAGTATGCATCCACATATGCACAGACCAGATATGCATAAGGCTAAGTTTATTTCATGATATTAATACTTTCCTGTACTGTATTTGTGAACCTAAGTGCTAAAATTCCATTTGAATGGATCTTATTTTTTCCTTTCCAAGAGTAACTGTGGATCAAACAGCTTTTTAAATACAATTTGTGAATGTCTTCTAATGTCTGTCGAAGGAGAAGCTTGTGGAAACTGGAGATCAGAAAATACAAAACAAAGTGAAGAGGTCAAACAAGAAATTACTCTTGAAATCCAAAAGGAGAAGCTCAGTTTGGAGGGGATTAAGGTTGGATTATTTTGACATTTTTCTAATTCCTCTTTACTTCAGGGATTGGCCACTATCTGTAATATATGCATTTAATTGTGTGATATTTGGCATGTCCCCTCAACTCTTTCTATCTTGTTCATATTCATGTCTAAAATTTCTGTCGTAGTTTCTTTTGCTAGAAGGAGCGTCCTCCTTGCTGCACTCTGTTGAGCAGCAGCTCCCACCTCAGTGCTGTAGTAAGATGGAGAAACTAGAACTGAAAATCGAGATCAATCTTCTAAAGGCCAACCTTTACCTGCAACAAGGACATTCTGCACTTAGGTAAAGAAGTTTCGTACATGTACTCTCAAGGTGTTTACACGGTGATGGTTATGTTTCTGGACTATCCTTAAGGTTTTACCCTTACTTCTCCCTCTAGTTCTGTGATGAGTGTGTCTTCCTTGATGCTGCTGCAGAAAGCTCCTGTAATTGTAAATGGATCTTTACCTGGCTCTCAGCAACCCATATCTGAGCACCAAAATGCCAAGACTGGAAGTAAACAGGTAATCACAGGATCACAAAAGTTGAGTTTTGAACAAAACCCAAAGATCCCAAATTCCTATCAATGAATTGCACAGTATACAATATAGAATTTAGAAAAAACAGAATTTAATTCTGTAATAAAACCCTTGTTGTGTTGCATTAAAAACTCTTTACTTTCCAAACTTGTTTGATTTCACTTCACAACACAAGCACACTTAGACATTTCAGGATCAACTCAGTTGTCATTTATGTTTAATGGAATTCAAAGTGCACATAATGATATTTAAAATATTCCCAGTTATGTAATACAGAACTAAACATAACATGCATACAATTTGATTTTTATTTTGTTTAAATATCTACAGATAGAAATATACAAAAGTGCTGATCAGTAATATCTTCTGCATTTTGCTCCATGTTCTCAATCAATACCACACCTTTTTCTATTATTTGTAATATTCACGGGCATATTTGGCGATCAGAATGTCCAGACATCCAGTATCAGAGGGAAGTTGGACAATGTGATAAATTCCTAGTATTGGCTATAAACCAAGATACTACCGTGACCAAGATCAGCCGATATATTGTAGTTACAGAAAGTTGTGCACTCAGCCTTACCTTCATTCTTTCATCACCATGCACAAGTTTTTCATAGTGATCATCAAGGACCGAAATTAAAAACACACGCTTGTTTGTCCCAGTTAAAAGTTTATGCTATGTTTTCATTATTTTTATTTTTAGATTTAAACTTTAAAATATAAAGTTTACACATTATAGTGAGAAAACAATTCATGATTGGGGCACTTGATACATTTTGTGTCTAATCAGTAATAAGTGATAAAACGTTTAGTCATTCTGACTTCTGTTCTACTTACTTGTTTGATTAGTTTTAGAAAAACATGAGTTTAGTATGAAAAATAACTTTAAAAAGTCCTAGTCAATTATGCACTTAACGATAATGGCCATGAGGATGGTTAATTGTTCTAAAGGTGTTTGCCAATGCTTGTGTCTCTGTGTTCTATATCCTGTCTTTAGGGTGCTCAAGACTGCAGAATGCCAGTCTACCCGGAGGGAGATTGTCCTAGAGCTGTTGAGGCCAGTGAGAGAATTGGAGTTCCCCTCTGGCTGCTCTGTCGCCTTGCTCTGGTCCGTAGCCTGGCAGCACACAACCCTGATACCAGGTCCCTTTTGCCCGGTATGGTTCAGTGCTGTGCTGCTCTTTCTTTTTCATTTGTAGTTTATTATAGGCAAAAAAGGTAACATATGATATAACATGGACAACAAATGTCGATGCAAATAATCAATTTCCCCCTTTAAGCAAACTGTAGTTGGGGTAAATAAAATAAAAACCGAGGGACGTTGTTAGGTGGGGGTTGTTTCTGTAGTAAATGTTTAATGATGAAATCGTGAAACAGACTGTGAATCATCTGAGATTTTATTCGGTCGTGATCAGACAACATAGCAACAGAACACAAATTGCTGACAAAGTATTCATCTTCACAGTGCTGCTTATATTCTGTTAGAATGTACAGTCTACAAATTAATTTCCATTAGGATAGAGTTCCAATATGCTAGAAAGAAGACATTAGCTTGACTTGTAAATGTCAGACATGCATTTCTTCAACCTCAGAGAATCAAATTTCCTTTTCAGCTCACAACATACACTTGGCTCCAATCCAAATCTGCTGCTATGAGATGTCTTGCACTTAAATATTACAGCTTCACAGACCTAAATAAAGAATTTCCCTGAGATGGTTGACAGACTTAAATGATATATCCGCAAAACTACCAAGTTGAATTAATTCATGAAAATTCATACTTACAGGTGTTTTTTCCTCCTTTTTTCTTTAAATTACAATTAGGGCTTGATCGATATAGAATTCTTGGGGCTGATACTGATAACAATATTGGGGAGAGAAATAATCTGATACAGATAAAACAGCCGATATCTTTCTTAGATCTATGTTCCATCTGTATTTATAGATATACACATTTATGGTGTTGATCCGTCAAATGCAGTTATCAAACATATACACGATATATAGTATAAAACAGTCAAGATGGTGAAAGACTGCTGCTAGTTTAATCTGATAAAACTAAAATGAAATGCTATTTGACTGGGGAATAAATCAATTAATATCTGCAGACATCTGCGATAAAAATAGCCGATACAGATAGTCACTGGATATGCTAATATCGCCCGCTAGATCAGATGGCCGATTAATCGGCCGGGCTCTTATTACAGGGCATCATATATTATTGACCGAGTGCCTAGTGCAACCATAGGAATCATTTTCAGCGCATAAACAAAATATTGATAAATAAATAAAAGTGTGTTCTTCATAAGCTACATTTTAATGTGTTTAAAGATGATGATTATGGTATATTGAATCTCTTTTTGTGTTTGTGTGGCTGTTTGGGTATGAATGTGTTTGTGTGTTTTGGAATGAAATACATTTTTTAGGGAAGAATATTAATGAGGAGATAGCTCAGACCTTGCAGGAGTGTCTTCGTGAATGTGAACGATGGGGAGATCTTGATATTCAAGCTGTTTTGATGGTTGAGGGTGCAAACTTGGAGGCACAGAGGGGCAGAACTGATGAAAGCATGGCATTGCTGCAGGTATGAACCCACACACTAACACACACACACAACCACAAGATACATTTATTGAGTAACAAATACATACTACAATAGCCATTAAATAGACGACTTTGAAGAATTTAGTTACAGCAGAAATATACTTCTCTTTTGACTACCTTACCGTGAAAAATTCCAAGAGAAGCGATCGACTTCTATTTCCCTTCCACATGCAAAAGGCATTTGAGATATAGTGCTGAACATTTTCTATGACAACTGTTTCTTGGGCAGCCAAAGGTGCCAAATGGCAGTTGCACTGCATTTCATCATCTGAAAGACTTCCGTAAAGTCAATCAAGTTCCACGTAGGGTTTATCCAGCAATGCTGTATGCACTTCCGGGAGAACATTTGTTTTCACAAAATGTTGACTTGCAAGTGGAGGTTTCAGGATAGCTGTAAGGAATCCACAGGGACAAGTTGAAATGCAGTGTAACTGTGTCAGTTGACTCTTTTCAATTGTGGAGAAGTACAAGGAAGAACTGATGTTAAAACTCTCAACAAGCTAACCAGGAGTTGAACCTAGAATCTCCTGATCCATAGTCAGACACGTTATCCATTGGGCCACTAGCCCACTGAGATGAGACCTTACATTAAATTTCACAGTGCTGCATGCAAAGGCAATGTTTCTGTACTCTGTAGAACGGTATGTTGAAAATGTCAGTAAAATAACTGGGTGAGTCCTGGGTAGTGTGCATTCTAAAACTATGATGATCAAAGGACAGGTAGTGTGCATTCTAAAACTATGATGATCAAAGGAGCCAAGAGCCAAGAGGAATCACAAAAAAGGTGTTCTATTCGCCACTCGTGCCACGACCCAGATTCGAACCGCGGTTATTGCGGCCACAACGCAGAGTACTAACCACTATACTATCACAGCCACACCAATACCTGAACGAACAGCTTCTTCAAAGGAGAGGCTGGTCAAGCCAAGAGGAATCACAAAAAAGTTGTTCTGTTCGCCACTGTGACATGACCACTATACGATCATGGCCACTTACTTGCCTGAGACACCAGCTTCTTGTTGTAGAATGTTTTCAGCACTGAATCTCAAATGCCTTTGCATTTGAAGCTCTTAGTCAAAGTCCGTCAAGTTCCACGCACGGTTTATCCAGCAATGCTGTATGCACTTCCGGGAGAACATTTGTTGTCACAAAATGAAATCTTGCAAGTGGAGGTTTCAGAATAGCTGTAAAGAATCCACAGGGACAAGTTGAAATGCAGTGTAACTGCATCAGTTGACTCTTTTTGGTTGTGGTGAAAAACGAGGAAGAACCGATTTACACTTCTTAAAACTCTCAACGAGCTAGCCAGGAGTCGGACCTAAACTCTTCTAATCAGTAGTCAGATGCATTAGCCATTGCGCCACTAGCCCACTGTGACTTGACCTTATATTAAATTTCACGGTGCTGCATGCAAAGGCAATGTGTTTGTACTCTGTAGAACGATATGTTGAAAATGTCAGTAAAATAACTGGGTGACAGTAAAGTAAATGGGTGAGTCCTGGGTAGTGTGCATTCTAAAACTATGATGATCTACTATGATGATCAAAGGAGAGGCTGGTGAAGCCAAGAGGAATCACAAAAAAGGCTTTCTGTTTGCCACTCTTGCTGTGACCCAGATTCGAATCGGAACTGATTTACACTTGTCAAAACTCTCAACGAGCTAGCCTGGAGTCTAGGGTTTATCAAGCAATGCTGTGTATGCACTTCCAGGAGAACATTTGTTTCATTTTAACTCATCAAAGTTCTTCTTTGTGTTGATTGTGTATGCTTGCGAATAGGAAGCTGTCAGCCTGCTCTCAGGACGGTCCTGCATGCCACCAAAGTCAAGTGTGACTCTTGCCCGGGCCACTTTACTACTCAGCAACCTGAGAGGGATGCACAGCACCACACTTCTGCAACTTACCCAGAAACTACTGAAAAAGCAGGTGTGGATAATGTATACTGTAATATGTGATATTGTCAGCATATACAAATTTGGTAAAATTTGAAAAAAATAATATAATTTTCTTTCCATGTCTCTTAGCTGTGTATTTTTGGAGAGAATGTGGTGTTGGAAGGTGGAAAAATTTGTTTTTCTCCTCCTGGACCCATCAACATCTACCTACCCTACCTCAACTTACTGGATCAGGCCACTTTGCAAATTGGTGATTTACTTAACTGAACTGGAAGTAGTGAATTTCTGACTGTATGAAAATGACTTATACAATTAATTAAAGGGGAAATTTGCCGATTTTCAACCAGTTGCGCAACATATTCGTACAGATATTATATGTTTCACTACGTTTATTCCCCTCAGTGTAGACTGAGAACAGAAGGGAATGACATAGGCACTTTTCTGGAAGTTATCTGGATGTAGCACCAATTTAAAAAAAATCTCACCTTTTTACTTCCTATTAAGTCTAGGTTTATGACAAGTCTATCTTCCTAGCGGCAAATTCTCATTTGTTTTGTCAATGATTCCTGTAATCTTTACACCAAGTTATTTTAATATTTCTGTATTGTAATTTTCCCAGGTAACATCGATAATCTTGGCGCGATGGAAACACCACTTGCTGCTCAGTCCTTGCAATCCCATTGTTCAAGCAAGAATGAAAAAGAGTGTCAAGATCCCATTCCAGCTCTGAGCAACTTAAGCATCTCTGGTCCTATAAGCCCCCAATGCTCAGACAGTTAGCCATACAATTACACCTTAAGTGATGCAATTTTCTCTGTTCTTTTCCTGTTCTGTGCCTACTGAGAAAGCTAGCTGGACGCTTAAGGTCATGTTAGTCAGTTGTTTGTTGGCTGAAGAGAGACATATGTTGTGGCCAACCTGATGCAATAATTATATTATCTATAAACTGTGATTAATAAACAAATTATGAATTAAGTACTGCATTTGTTTACAGACATGAATGTATAGTTGTAAAAACCAATTGTAATCAATTGCATAATAGTTGCAGAATGAGAGACTGAACAATTGTCACATGAGTTTTCTTACTATGTGATATCAGTTTGTGTAAGTTGTTAAGGATGATAACCTTTTTGAACTGCTGGACAAACAAGACCAACATCAATAAAATCCATAGCCTCTTTTTATGTTTATTTTGTTAAAAACTCACTATCCAAAACGGACAAGTCATTTGACAAAGTGGAGCAGAAACAAGTTAACACATGATAGTGTTTATTGAGGAAAATTCAGGTTAAGAAATTTAGACAGGTTAAACAACCACATGTGAATAATATGCAGGAGTTGTATCATGCTGATACTACGGTTTCTTCTACTACAAGCATTGACATGTTAGTAAACTCTAGACATATCTGGTTTCTTTTAAGGATCTGTATGAAGACGGTAAATTATATTATGCTCAACAGTAGTGCACAAATGGTGTCTGACCTTGTAGACATAACAATATAAATATCCAGTGAAGCCTGGACAACTTGCCAAGCTCACAAATGTTAGCACAATTATTAAGAAAGAATTAATAATGTGGTTTTATAGACTAAAGAAATACCAGCAATAACTCAGAAAATACATCAAATGCAGTTCAAGGCTTTACCCTTTTGTAATCCAATGCTTGCAAGAAAATGTAATTGACTTTAATCCATTATTTTTTCATGTAATATTATGAACTGTATAGTCACTCTGATCACTATGGACATCAGTGACCAACAAATAAACCATTCAACAGGAAGCATTTCGAAAATTGGATTATGCTTCCATGCATAAATGATTATTGTATTGTAACAAATTCACACATTTCAGGTTAATCTTGTTTTTTTGTTAAATCAGACAAAATGAACATTTTAAACAAAAGATTTTGAGAATAAATACAATAACATTTTGAGTATTGCTGGAAATGTTTCAACAACAATATGTTTTGCATGCTTATATTCCCTCATATTGCTTATATTGCTTTTTTTAATTCTGAAAATCACGCAAATTAGAGGCAATATTGTAAAGTATTTTTGACTACTGGCACAAAATGAGAGTTAGTATCAAATATTTCTGACCTATGCCAGAATTTCAACATAACTGACAAAAATTTAGAGCGCTTATTGCAAATAATTTTGACTAATGATATAAATTAATTAATTAATTAAACAGACAGCTTAGCAGGTAGGTACAAAAAAAATCAATTCAATAGTGTCAACAGTTTTTTGACAAATCACAAAAAAATAACTAAAAATAAATCATATTTTCAATACTTTTGATTAACGGGAGAAAAGTAATGACAGAAAAGCAGTTAGCTTATGTCAAACATTGTTGATAAATGAGTTTGTTGAAGATTAGAGCGTTACTGTCCTTTTTTATTTTGTAGCTATGCCAGAAAATTATTGACTGAAATTAAGAGAGTTTATGGCAAATATTTTGGCTAATGAGTTTATTATTATTATTATTATTATTTTTTGACAAATCGTAGTAAATAACTGGGATGCAATCACCAAAACATGGAGAGCTAACATCGAGTATCTTTGGCCACATACTAATTGAGAGTGCTAATGTCAAGTTTTTGTTCAACCAATACCAGACATCAGGGACTTTATAATAAAAAAAAAAAATGGGACAGAAAGTAAATAGTGCGCTGTTTTTTTTCCACGTCAAATAAATGGGCTAAAGAAAGTAAAAATATTAATATTAATAAAAGCAATATTTTGGTAAACAAAAGCTCATGGCGGCCTTATTGTTGAAGCACATTGACACTCCGGAAGTCGTAAACCGTCAACCGGAGGTCTCTTATGTGCAGTAACTTGACAACCGGTCTCCAGCCAGAGTAACGGTAGCCGTTTCCTCCGACCCCTCATTGTCTCTGTTTGTTGACGTTTGCTGGAGTTTCAGGGTTAGTTAGTAACGGGGGGGGGGTGTCTGCCTGTTCTACCGGGGACGTCGTGTGGAATTAAAAGAGCTACCGAGCTTAAATGGGTTTTCGAATAAAAGGATGATCGCCTCACTTTCGAGAGGAAGTTTGCTGGATGAGGTTCTTCACGGGGGCTTTAACGAGGTAACGTTTACCTTTCGATACAATGTGTTATCAAATTGGGTTTGCAATAAATTACCACAGATATCCTAATGATGTAGTGGTTCGAAACAATAAAGACACAACTTAGGCTGGATCAGACAAATTAATGCAGTTTGTCCAATTAGTTTGACGCAAATGTGTTGTCAGGACAAAAAATGATTTATTGTGACTCAGATGTTTCGCTGTTAAACGCTTAGTTTATGGTTGTCTGTACTCTGTAGAACGATATGTTGAAAATGTCAGTAAAATAACTGGGTGAGTCCTGGGTAGTGTGCATTCTCAAACTATGATGATCAAAGGACAGGTAGTATGCATTCTAAAACTATGATGATCAAAAGACAGGTAGTGTGCATTCTAAAACTATGATGATCTACTATGATGATCAAAGGACAGGTAGTGAGCATTCTAAAACTATGATGATCTACTATGATGATCAAAGGGCAGGTAGTGTGCATTCTAAAACTATCATGATCTACTATGATGATCAAAGGAGAGGCTGGTCAAGCCAAGAGGAATCACAAAAAAGTTGTTCTGTTCGCCACTGTGACATGACCACTATACGATCATAGCCACTTGCTTGCCTGAGACACCAGCTTCTTGTTGTAGAATGTCTTCAGCACTGAATCTCAAATGCCTTTGTATCTGAAGCCCTTCCTCAAAGTCAGTCAAGTTCCACGCACGGTTTATCCAGCAATACTGTATGCACTTCCGGGAGAATATTTGTTTTCACCAAATGAAGACTTGCAAGTGGAGGTTTCAGGATAGCTGTAAGGAATCCACAGGGACAAGTTGAAATGTAGTGTAACTGTGTCAGTTAACTCTTTTCAATTGTGGAGAAGTACAAGGAAGAACTGATTTACACCTTTTAAAGCTCTCAACGAGCTAGCCAGGAGTCGAACCTAAAATCTTCTGATCCGTAGCCCACTGTGACATGACCTTACATTAAATTTCACGGTGCTGCATGAAAAGGCAATGTGTCAGTACTCTGTAGAACGATATGTGGATCATCATAGTTTTAGAATGCACACTACCTGTCCTTTGATTATCGTTCATCGTGGAATTTGACCAAGATGGCGGCGCGAGCGCATCGCGAGGCCCAGCGTCTCTCTCAGATTTGCAATTTTGCAGTAATTTTATTGTTAATTTCGGGTCTGTTCGCACGGAACAGCCTCGCCTTAACATCCTACACCCGACAGGAACTTTTGGATATTGGAATACACCTACCTGACGATCTAATCAACAATCTTCGACTCATACCCGAGATCGCCAAAACACCCGAGGCTACGCACTCTACCCGGCCGGGCGGAAGTGCTCGCAGGCGGCGTCGAGACCGTAAACAAAGGCGGGGGAAGCGCGGAGGTATAAGAGCTAAGCTAAAGCTAACACCGCACCGTCTCCCGTTACCCAGCATTTTCCTCGCTAATGTGCGGTCTTTGGTGAACAACATGGACGAGTTACGACTTCGTATCATCCACAGCAAGAGACTTATGGACTGTAATGTCATGATCTTCACGGAAACATGGCTAAACAACGGAGTACCGGACGATGCTATCAAGCTAGCCGGTTGCCACACACGGGCAGACAGAACAGCAGAGGACCAGGGGAGGAGGGCTGTGCATCTATATTAACAAAGCTTGGTGTACAGACTCTGTCATTATTGGGAGACACTGCTCAGCTAACATTGAGTTTCTCATGGTTAAATGTAGACCTTTCTATCAGCCAAGGGAGCTCAGCTCCACTATTGTAACTGCAGCCTACATCCCCCCTGATGCCGATGCAAAAGCTGCTATGAAGGAACTTTACACCGCTATCAGTAAACAACAGACTGCTCACCCGGAGGCTGCATTTATAGTTGCAGGTGATTTTAATCACTCAAACTTAAAGACAGTGCTCCCTAAATTTCACCAGCATGTTTCCTGCAATACAAGAGGAAACAAAACTCTGGACCATGTTTACACAAACATCGCAGGAGCCTACACCACGACCCCCCTCCCCCACCTGGGACAGTCAGACCATCTTTCTTTGTTCCTCATCCCCAAGTACTCCCCACTCATCCAACGTGTGAAGCCATCAGTGACAACGATTAAAGTGTGGCCAGCGGGGACAGACTCTGTACTTCAGGACAAGTTCCATCACACAGACTGGAGTATGTTTGCTTCTCAGGCTACCTTGGGCTCTCACACAGACATTGACACCTACACTTCTTCTGTGCTGGATTATATCAATACCACCATCGACAGTGTTACAACATGGAAGCAGATCACCACGTACCCAAATCAGAAGCCATGGATGAACAAGGAGGTGCGTCTCCTGCTGAAGGCCTGCAACACCGCCTTCAGATCAGATGATGCAATGGCCTACAGCGTATCCAGGGCAAACCTGAGGAGGGGCATCATCAAGGCCAAGCACTGCTACAAGCTGAAGGTAGAGGAACACTTCTCCAACTCCGACCCCAGACGCATGTGGCAGGGCATCCAGGCCATCAGTGACTATAAACCCAGAAACTCCACCCCGATAACCACAGATGTCTCCTTCCTGAACGAGCTAAATCACTTTTATGCACGTTTCGATAGAGACAACAGGGAGACGCAGACCACGACCAGACCTCCTGCAGACAACCAGCCCTCTCACTCACCTCCACAGACGTCCACGCTGCACTGAGCCGGATCAACGCTCGAAAGGCTGCTGGTCCAGACGGCACCCCGGGCGCGTGCTTAGAGCATGTGCGGAGCAGCTCACTGGGGTTTTTACGGACATCTTCAACCTGTCCCTCGCCCAAGCAGCTGTGCCAGCATGCTTCAAAGCCACCTCCATTGTCCCAGTGCCGAAACACTCCAGCCCGACAGGCCTGAATGACTACCGCCCTGTAGCACTCACACCCATCATAATGAAGTGCTTTGAGCGACTGGTCCTAGCACACCTGAAAAACTGCCTCCCACCCACACTGGACCCATACCAGTTTGCCTACCGCAGCAATAGGAGTACAGAGGATGCAGTTTCCACTGCGCTGCACTCTGTGCTCACACATCTGGACAATAACAACACATACGCACGAATGCTGTTTGTTGATTTTAGCTCAGCATTCAACTCTGTCATCCCCTCCAAGTTAAACACTAAACTCGGAGACCTGGGCTTCAACACCTCCCTCCGTCACTGGATAATGGACTTTCTGACCAACAGACCCCAGTATGTTAGGTCAGGACACACCTGCTCCACCACCATCACACTCAACACAGGCGTACCACAGGG